TAATATATATATATATATATATATATATATATATATATATATATTATATATATATATATATATATATATACTATATATATATATATGATATATATACTATATATACATATATATATACATATATATATATACATATATATATACATATATATATATAATACATATATATATATACATATATATATATATATATATATATATATATATATATATATATTATATATATATACATATATATATATATATATACATATATATATACATATATATATATATACATATATATATACAAATATATATATATAGATATATATATATATATATAGATATATATATATATATACATATATATATATATATATATATATATATATATATATATATATATATACATGCATATATATATATACATATATATATATGTCCCCCCCCCCGCCCCCCCCCCCCCCCCCCCTCGCTACGCCTCTGCACCTAGATCTAGATCTAGATCCTAGTAAACGATTTACACCGAACCTAAGCCCTATTGTCAAAGAAAAATGGCGAAGTTGTTGTCAACAAGCTTGCTTTTTGTTCTGGAATTGTTTGCATCGAATTACGCTATGCCCCAACATGGAGTTTGGGATTTTGACATCAATAAGGTAAGTAGTTATTTTCTAGTTATTTCATTTACTACGTTATTATATGGAAAATAATAAATATATTTGTAAATATGGGTTCTGAATCATACTTCCGGGTTGGTAGAGTAGCTATTTAGTATTTATAGTTAATGTTACAAAGTATTTTTTTCAGAATATTGTAACTAAAAGCCAGTTTTATCGGGTATTACAAAGGATAATGACAGATTCGCGAAACAAAAACATCTTCTCAGATTCGTAGCTATAGAAGGGCGGGCGGAGCCCGGGCTCCAACATTAAGGGGGATCGCACGACAGCTCGTATCTAAAAATATCTCGCGTGTCTGGGCACTCATTTGTCGAAGCACCACTGTATATATAGATCTAGATCTAAACAATTTATAAAAAAAAATATTCCTGAACACAAAGTATTTTAATTTTAAAATATTATAATTAAGCATTAAATAATTGAAATTTTCGTTAATTCTTAATTTGTAATGAAAACTGATCTATGATCCTAGAGTTGATACTAATATCAGCACTGCGATGAGGGATACTATTGCGAGAAATCAACATATTAGACATTTTTCAAGATAAGGGAAAGAAATCAATTAATATTTTTCGACAAATCAACCTACCCTGCTTCTTTCCCTTTTCGGAATACATGATTTTCATAAAAAGAATTCTGGTTTTGGGGGTGAAGTGAATTTTTGTGACAATATGTTACAATTTGGTGTAGAGGGGGGGGGGGGGGGGAGGGAACTACAGCAGCATTCATATGAACCAAAAAAAAAAAACGTTACAAAAGACAGCTTAGAAAAATATAATAACATAAAATAACATTCTTAGATATTCAAATAAAAATGTTCAGAGAAATAAATGCAATTTCAAAATTATTAATTTTTTTTGTTTTGAGAGAAGTTCTTTCTAAAAATCTTTCACTACCCATGTTTAAGAAATCAACGGAGCCTCAAATGAGCCTGGTGCTTCTATCTCCCCATTGATTACTCTAACATCCCACTAAAACCCACTTTGCAATATTTGATTTCTAGATCTTTAAATGAATAGAGGAAAATATTAAAACCCTTAGTATTAGTATTAGAAACAACATTATTACAAGTGGGCTATACCATTTACATAAGGCACTAAGATAAAATAAAACACAGAAAAATGTGTTTGATCTAACTCTAAATGAAGGACCTACAGAAATGTAACTATACTCTATAAAAATATGTTAAGGCTACAAAGGTAGCTACATAAATATTTAAGTATGGTAAATTTAAAACATTATTAACTATCATTTTACACGATTACCAGGACGTTTAAATTTTGCATTTTAATTTCAATCTTACTTTTTAATTAACTTAAATTTAGATTATAGAATTTAAATTCTACAGTACAAATCCACAGGAAACCCCATTACTTTATGCAGCAAAAAGTATTTATGAGGATGGTCAGTTGTCGGTGACAAGTATGTACCAAAAGTTTTTTCTAAGAGCGGTTTGTTGGTAAAATTGGCAAGAAATCGGTTCTTTGAATTGTAATACTAATCACTAATTAAATTAAGCCATAGTGGTGTCAATCAAATTTATTTAGTTGTTGTTCTTTAAAACTATTTTTAATTTTCTGTATGTAAAAAATGTACTAATGTACTAATGTAGAATTTGTAGATCTACTAGATTTAAAATTTAAAGTATAGTATTTATGTAATAAAAATATGGTATAGTTTAGTAGTTAGTGTGTTGACAGATTGATTATCCAAACAATACCAAGACTCTAGTTCTATTACTAAATACTAAACAATATTTTTAAATCTTTTGAAAAAAAATAATATTTTTTTATTTTTATCTTAGTTTTGGTTTAATAGTCCAGAAATATGTTGATTTGTTTAAACATATTTAATTTAATTGTTTTAATGCCTCAACTAAATTACATTGTTGCTAAGGAAAATCTATATTGTTTAATGTTACAACATTTTCTTTCAGTTTTTTGTGAAAGTAATTCTAATACAACCTTCAAACTGTCATGGATATTTCGTCGATCTTCCTGTGCAAATGAATATGTTGAAGTTAATTCGGTATAACTGTTTTAAAACTTTCATGCCTTTTTTTTTTATCTTCCTCAAGACTTTATTTAGATATAGAATCATTTAATAAAAGTTACAAAGTTTGTGAATTATTAAAAATAAAAAAATACTTTATATCTGTATAGATGTATAACATATGGAAAACCTGTTTTCATTTTTTATTTATTTTTAAACCATTTCAATCTATTGCAAAGTATTATTTACAAATGCCTTAGCATTGTCCTGTTTTTTTAAATTGTTTTTTTTTAGAATCATAAGAAATGATACCAAAATTTGTGGATTTTTAAACATTTGAAATTATTCCAAATCTGTATTAGTGAATTACATTTTTTAAAAATCTGTTTTTATTGTTTTATTTATTTAAACCATTTCAGTCTGTCGCTGACTATTATTTAAAAATGCCTTGGCAAAAGTCATTGCCCACCCAGAGGACAGAATATGTGTCTGGTTCAGGCACTTACTATTGTGACAAACACAACAGAATTACTCTACATGTAAGCAGTTGAATTTCTTTTTACTTGTTAATGGCCAGTTGGCCATAAAATCATTTTAACAAACTATTTGGACAAGGTTCTGACAAATGTAATGTTATGTACTTTTGTTTCAGTCTGCCAATGCCACCCATCCTATTGAAGCAACAGATGCCCCAGTAAGTAAAAACACATTGCTAATATAGAAATGTATAAGAAATATTTGAGGAGTTTTAAAACTGCATGATTCACTGGGATTTTAAAATTTCAATTTAGTAGGTCTGATATTAAAATAGATTAGAAATTTCAAATCTCTTATTAAACAAATTAAACCCTAAATACAAAAAATATGGTTTACGAGCCGACCCGCGGCATAGCATACGCCGCTATTTAGTTGTTTTATTTTCTACTTTTCAGTAATTCATAATTTGTGAATTCGACAACACCAATGCTTCCACTGAAAATATTTGCTTTAAAATACTATAAGTAGCTCGTTAAGGACGATACTACCCCCACCCTTCTTTCCCCCAACCCCAACCCTACCCCCCCCCCCCCCCCCCCCGTGAAAGCAGCCTCCTCTTAGTTACCTCCTCTAAGTTTAAAATCGTTTCAAACTAAATTATCTGTCCCTAACAGCCGTCACCAAACCCGGCTCTACGATAGTAAAATGTAAACATTTAGGGTGAACACAGCTCACCAAACCATGTGAGGGGGGTGGGGGTGGTAGCGACAGAGAGGAAAAGAGGGGATTGCAAGGCGCGTTTGCAGCTTGTTTTCTAACGGCTCCCAGAAGAGAATTATATATATAGATTATAAATGTTCTTTGTAACTTTGTTCACTATTTATTCATTGTTCTTTAACTAAAATAAAGGAATAAAAAAACCATTAAGTTATGTTTGTGTTTTTTAGTGAAATTTGAAGTGTTGTGTAAAAAATATATTATTTTTCATGTAATTTTAAATATTGCTATTTTTAGACTTGGCTCTCAACAGGGCAAAACAATATTCATTTGTATTACATGATTGATAAATTGTTAAAAAATAATGAAGGCATGTTGAAATAAGTATTTTGGTTTTAGACAGAGAAGCCAATAAAGCCAACAGAGAGTGCTGGAACTGAAGCACCTGCACCTGTAAAGGCTGATACAGTGAAGGAAGGAAGTGATGCCAAACCTGCAGCTAGAAAACGAAGGGCTACAGAAGAGGGAGCTGATAAAAAAAATAGTAGAGGAGGAGAAGAAACCTGCCCCAAAAGTAGCTTACTCAAACGAGGTAGGTTGCCTATCTAAGTATATACAGATAATCAGGGCCCTTGTTATAGAAAATTGTATAAATATGTTTTGTATATATTTTCTTATCATTTTAAGGTTATTTTTTCAAGATGGCCGCCCCTTGCCATGGCAACCATATTTTCAGAAGTGTCCCTGACGCATGCAAATATTTCCCCTTAAGTACTTTAACTTATATATCAACAAATAAATAAAAAGGCTCATTATTTAAGTTTTTTTTTCCATTATTTCCTGGAGCCTATTAATGTTCCCAGTAAACCTCCAACTGGTTGGATTGCATTCTTTTATTGATCATTACACTATATTATGGTACATTAAGCTTTCTTCCATTGACAGTTATGCTGCTAATAAAAACAAAGAGCTATATTTTTAACAGCCGATAGATCATGAGGCACAATATCTGCATAAGACATGGGCTGATGGGTATTACTTGTTTGTGTTGAATCTTGTTCATGCTGATGATCTTCCAGAAGATTTTCTCCTGAAAGGTTAGATTTATATATCTTTTCCTTTTTCCCTTCATAAAAGTAATGTACAGATTATAGAGTAGATTGTAGATTTGGTAACCTAAAAAAATAGTTTTGAATAGTTCAGTTTTTTTTCTTTTTTATATTCTGTTTGAAAAGAACTTCAAGTTGTAAGTGGTCAGTTATAGTTATATTACTTTTTAAAAATTAATTTTTATATTTTATAAATTACTTAATTTTTTATTTAATTTTTTTCTCAATCACAGTTAATGTTAAGATCAGCAATGGTAACAGTTATATCGCAGCTGTGGATTTTCCACTGCTTGTTGTAAGCTGCTTTTTAAAAATTATGTCTTATTGAATTTCTGTTTTAACCTAAGTAATAATATGAAAGATTGGGACTTTTTAATGTAAATTTTTATTTATCCCTAGTTCTATGGTGTTATGGCCCTTGTGTACCTCGGTTTTGGCATTGCGTGGTTTATTTTACTGGCTTGTAACTGGCCAGATTTGCATAGGATACACTTCTGGATTGGAGGAATTATTCTCATAGGTAGATTTATTTTCAATTATAAAGAAATGAATTTGTAGGTTTTGTGTTAATAAATATTTTAAAACTAATTTTAAAACAAAAATCTTCTGTAGGTATGATTGAATATGCTGTTTTCTTTGGTGAGTATGAGAACATCAACAATACAGGCCAGTCTGTGAGGGGAGCCATTATCTTTGCTGAGTTGGTTTCTTGTTTAAAGCGGTCACTTGCCAGAATGCTGGTCATAATTGTCAGTCTTGGCTACGGCATTGTCATGTAAGTTGTTTGTTTTTTTTCAAACTCAGTTGATGTAAATCAGCTGAAGGAATTTGTTGTTTATCCTGTAGTTCATGCAATTTTAAAGTCCAGTACTAATTAAACTGGTCAGCTTCAGTGCCAACACATAAAACAAGTGAATACAAATCCTTATTAAAAAAATGTATACATTGACAAAAACTTATTTGAAAATGAGAGAGCTTAGGTTTTTAATGGTATTTTTATTTTTTTATTAATTGTGGCTTTATCCAGAAAAAAAGATTATATATATAAAAGCATCATCCTGGGTATTTACAATTATATTCATAGCTCAATCATAATCTTGACAAACCCCTAAGTTCTGAGAGTGAAGTAAATTACCTGCTCTGAATCCAATTATTATTACTTTATGCCAGTTTAAGCACTATTATGCACAAATTTAGCCACCAAAATACTTCAACTCGCTGGACTTTACTTGATTTGTATGAAAATTAACTTTCCCGAACATTTTATAATTTTATTAAAATGTAAAATGTTTTTTTAATTATTTCACTGTATGTAGACAAAATTGTTGTAAGTACTCCATGATTTTGCACACAGGAGATTTTTTTACCTTCCCCCTCTCCTCCTTATCAACCATATAAAATTATAGGACACCACCACTTATATTATTTTTTTGTGATGGTACAACCAATTTTTCCAGACCAAGTCTTGGAAAGATGTTTCATAAAGTTTTTATCGTGGGAGTTGTGTTTTCATCCTAGCCTCTATTCAAGGGTGTATGATGGCGCTCAATGTATGTTCTTTTAGCATTATTACGTGTATACTTAATTATATGTTTCTATTTTAACTGAGTGTTGAAAAGTCTCTTGTCTAAAATTAGCATGTCAGCAGTAGGTCTGGTGTCACCTGGTTCAATCCATCAATTTCCTATGGTTTGACCCATTTCACACCTGTTTGCTATTTCACTGAAAAAAAAAGGACTGAATAGTGTATATGATCTGGAGATTTTAGTTATCTTTAATTATTTAAGTGCATAAGCTACAAGCAAGTTGTAGTTTTTTTAAGAAATTTCATGCATGAATGAATTACGATTTCTTTTAACATTACACCCTTTCTTTTCAATTACTATTTTGTCTGGAATTATATTTCACAGTGTACAGCCTAATAGAATAGCTTTACTTCTTTAACCATAGAAATCAATATTAAATATCTATAAGACTTATGAAATAACTTGAAAAACCAAAGGCTTTAGTCATAAATTAATAAAGTTAAAGACATAAGAGTCTAAAGAGTATGCTTGCCATGTTTGTAGCCCTCTAGTGTCATTTAATAATTGATACACAAAATTGTAGGTTACTGACTACTTCATTTAAAGTGTAAATACATGGGAATAACTTGCCTAAACTATTTTAAACTCATTATATAGGAAAAGTTTTTTTTTTTTTAATATTGATTTTTTTTAAACATATTTATCTTTGTCAGAAGAGCTTCTTAATCAATAACTATTTCTATTTAAGTCTATATGTGCATTTTATCTCCTGCTATTTCTATAATCAATTTTCTTTTAGGAGAGAGCAGACCAAAGCCCACTAGGAATTACACTTGGTGTTTTGTTACTAGTGATTGACATCTTTATTTTTGGTTGGATATCCTTTGCAATGTCCATTTTTTTAATTATTTTTTTCCACACAACAAATAGTTCCCACAAATTATCTTCCGTTATTTTATGCTGTTGAATTTAATTTTTGAAAGTTGCTTTGAATACTATTTTCTTGTTCAAGTCAATTACTTTATTTTTATATTAAAAAATATTTGCAGTAAGTAAATAAGTAAAGTTCCCTTTTTAAACCTGACTGTCTACGGTGCATATGAAGTAGAGTTTCTGCATGTGACCTCGACATATGAAGGGATAGTCTGGTCAGCACTATGCCCAGCCGCCTTTACTTACCCTAACGTGTGTTAGGTACCCATCAGAGCTGGGTGGACTCAGGGACGGTATACTGACTTGTACCCGAATCGGAACTCGAGACTTATGGGCTAGCAGTCCAGCTCTCTACCGCTAGGCCACTCCGTCTCATTTGCAACTTATTTAAAAATAAAAGCATAAAATTATACAATTCTAGACAATCATAAAGATATTATTGTAATGTGTAAATGTTAATTTGTTTTACTTCTTAAAAACTAGCCTTGACTACCTCACATCATTAAATCCCTGAGACAAACCTTAAGGACTTTGCGACTTAGAAAAGATGTTGTTAAACTTTCAATGTACAGACACTTCAGAAACGTTTTGATACTTTATATAATAGGTAATATTTAAACTTTCACTATACAAACATTTAAGAAATTCTGATATACTCTGTAACAGGTAAAAACAGAGTTTCTTCCAGGCATCTCTTCGGGGGGGCGAAGCCCCCCCGAAAATTTTTTACCGCCCCCCCCGAACGAAATAAAATTTATATAATTTATATAGAAAATATATACTTTTAACAGTGTCCGCCCCCCCCCCGAAGAAAGTTTACCGCCCCCCCGAAAATTTCAAGTGCCCCCCGGAGAAAAAAGTCTGGAAGAAACACTGGGTAAAAAATGTGTGTATTTAACAATGTCACTTTACTACTATCTTATTGTTACAGTATGTAGTTAATATTTCAAAAACGTCTCTGAAATTGTTTATAAAAACTGAGCAATTTTGCAACATTTCAAATTATTATTATTGAAATCGTGTCATTTTTATTATGCTGGACTTTTTTTTAGCTGTTCCAGTGCTCCTGATTTGGTTTAGTATTGAATTCATATTTAATGAGTACCTTTTTGTAAGTTTTTAATAAAATTCTGTAAATATATACATTAAAATAAAACATCTTTTTGTTTGTAATTACTTCTTATATTTAAGTTTTAAAACTATTTTCTGCTTAAGATAGTGTACAATTACTTATAAAACAGCACCATTCTTTTAACAAACTAGGAGGTCTATTCTCAACCAGCTAGTGAATTTGGTTTGGTTATTTTCCTTACAGTCGTTACATAAAATAAGTGAATTTTTAAATACATTTTTTTTCAGGATTGGAAAACACTTTGGATGGATAATGCCCTCTGGCATATATTTTTTTCTGTGATTCTTATTGTCATCATGGTACTGTGGCGTCCCACTTCATATAACTTGAGGTTTGTTATACAAAGCTAGTCACACTAAAGGTCTCTATAACTATAGTTCTTTTAAAAAAATGTTAATTTCTTCAAACTTTATTTTTTGTTGCTTTTATGTGATAATTATTTCCTATAAATGTAATTCCAACCTTACTTTGCGGAATCATTACTTCTTTTACACTCTGTTATTTACTATAAAAAACCTGAGGTCTGTTATAAACAGTTTTATATACTATATGTTATTTTGTTGGATCTTCACGCTAGATTTTGTTTGGGTTTTTTTTTTTGTTATAATTATTTCAATTGTATGTAATTTCAAAGATTTTATACAGTAGTAGCCTCTGGGCATCATATTTTTTAAATACATATTTTTGTATGCTCGTTTTATTCAGGTATGCATTCTCCGCATTGCTGGATGTCACAGATGACAACAGCATGACTCAAAAGAGCACCACAGAGCTCTGATCAAGCCTCCCCCTAACGAGATATGAATCTATGGAGCAAAGAAAACACCTAGAGCTTGGGTGAATAAAAAATATACTGCTCCGCATATTTGGAGCAATCCTCACAAATTTAGGAGATTTTTAAAAGCTTTTATTTAGTTTGCAACGTCTGTTTGTAGGTTTGTGGCAAATCTTGTAACTGAAATTCGACCCACTTCTAATGCAGCGATTGTGTTCAAACTTTCCAGATAGGCGCCACTTCAATGACGATACAAGTCTATCTATTTTTTAATTTAATTAGATGCTTTAAAAATTAATTAAACGGTTTCGAAACTAAGGGGAAGTAAAAAAATTAAATCACCTGACCAGTCATGGTGAGCTGTGGTTCATGAGAATGTTTACAATCGTAAAAAGTAAAAGCTTGTAAAAAAAAATTAGATCTACTTGCAAAATTAAGATAATTAATATAATTACTTTTTGCTAAAGTTAAAACCATCACAAAGGGTAAAAAAAAATTAAATAGTTAAACCAGTCACTTACTGGTCAAACAAACTGAAAATAAATAAAAACCTTGACCGTCACCCATTGCTTCTAAGAAACTACACAAAATAAATCTATCTAAAACAATTGCAACCTGTACAAACTATGGTGAAGGGAAACAACCCAGTGGTGAATTAAATGTCACATCATTTCTATATTTTCAAAAACTGGTTAATCAACATTACCCAAATCATATCAGCAAATATATTTATCCTAAAGAAAATATAATTCTGAAAGCAGTTTTAAAATATTAAAGATTTTGCTGGCTACAGACATGACACATACAGTTGTGTGTTTCATTCTGTGTAACATTTATCTAAGTTAACAAGACCAAATCAGTTTTTTAAAATCCAAGATGTGACTTTTTAATCTACTAAGCATATGGATTTTGTTTTAACATTCATTTTCTCTGTACATCACATGATGTGTACAAATATTATTATAGAGTTTAGTGAATGACTTAAGTCTTTTAAATCTTTAAATATATGTTCCAAGAAAAGCTTATATACATTACCTATAATTTTTAATTTCGCCTATTATAACTGCTGAACACTTACTTAGTACTGCTTGTATTAATACTCATGTAAACAATTTGTGAGATGTTTTAATTTTATAACATTTTATAAGACTATTTTATACATATACTACAGTTGTTTTATTAAATGCCATATTACATAAATCTGTCTTTGATTCAATTTGAATTCTTTCTAAGTATCCAAATAAGTATAATTAAAACTTGAGACAATGAAAATCAGTTGGACTTGTGATCAGAAACTCATGAGTTACTCTGGTCAATAATGAAACTCAGACGGTGTGCTGAATCTGACATTATCATTAATTAGCATATTCCAGATTTTTAAATCAATATTGATATTCATTCTGTTTGAGACTTACAATCACATTAACACTTTGGTATGCTTATTTCTTTAACTGTGTATAATCTACAGTTTTACATATAAAAAACATTTCTTTAAGGCTACTTGTTTTTAGAACTTGCTAATGCTAATGTAATCTTTGCATTCCTTTTTTGAACTTGATGGAAGGTTGGAAGTTGGTTATTTATTTGGGTTGATGTGGAGGATTTCTTTCAGTTTAATATTTCACATGGTTTGTTAATTTGGAATCAATTAACTTAAATAATGGTTGTAGAGCTTCACTGTTATTTTAATTTAAAAATATATACTTTGTTTAAACAATGATACAAGGTGATAAAATTTTATTATATATTCACAACAATAATCGTGTACAGTATAATTAACATTCAATTACAAAATATCAATATAAAAAAACATCACAAATTTTGACTGTCCCAAATAATCTTATAAATTTTGACTATCGCTGATAATCTTACAAATTTTGACTATTGCAGATAATCTCCTTACAAATTTTGACTATCCCAGATAATCTCTTTACAAATTTTGACTATCACGGATAATCTTACAAATTTTGACTATCCCAGATAATCTCCTTACAAATTTTGACTGTCCCAGATAATCTCTTTACAAATTTTGACTATCGCTGATAATCTTACAAATTTTGACTATTGCAGATAATCTCCTTACAAATTTTGACTATCCCAGATAATCTCCTTACAAATTTTGACTGTCCCAGATAATCTCTTTACAAATTTTGACTATCACGGATAATCTTACAAATTTTGACTATCCCAGATAATCTCCTTACAAATTTTGACTATCCCAGATAATCTCCTTACAAATTTTGACTGTCCCAGATAATCTCTTTACAAATTTTGACTATCGCGGATAATCTTACAAATTTTGACTATTCCCAGATAATCTCCTTACAAATTTTGACTGCCCCTGCTAATCTCCTTACAAATTTTGACTCCTGGATAATCTTACGAATTTTGATTGTCCCTGCTAATCTCCTTATAAATTTTGACTATCCCAGATAATCTCCTTACAAATTTTGACTATCCCAAATAATCTTATACATTTTGACTGTCCTGGATAATCTCCTTACAAATTTTGACTATCCCAAAACACAACATAATTATTGAACGGATAATTTCCAGTATCATCCATGGTGTTGACCCGTGCCATGTCCATCGCCATCTGCTGGTTCCTGTCCTGCATCAGGTTCTGGTTGGCCAGCGTGTGGTGCAGGCCTGGCTGCTGCAGACCCTGGGGGATCACCTGGCTCAGGTTGTGCTGGATGACCTCCTGGTGGGTCAGCGTGCTGGAGGTCATGATGTTGCGCTGGCCCTGCTGCATGTCCATGTTCTGGGGCACAAGTTGCTGGGGGATGATGACCGTGTGCTGGAATGTGGAGGGGGTCTGGACTTGGATGATCTGTGGCTGGGGGGTCTGGAGGTGTGGCTGTACTGTCTGAGGTAACACAGTGACAGGGAGTGTGACAGGCTGTCCCATCTGCTGGTTGATGACTGAGGAGATAAAAAAACAAGTTAATTAAAAAGTCTAGTGACAATTTTAGCGCAATTTCCTTATATCGAACCTCAGCTTATTAATAGGGTACAAAAATAACGTTTGATTTAATAAGTAAATTAAATCGAGATAAATCATATATTGAGCAAATAAATAATGCAACACAAGTAGTTTTAATAATTCAAAACAAAATAGAAAAAATATTTATTAACGAGATTTTTAAAAAAATCCTTTCGAACCTCCGCTCATTCGCTATGGTAAAATCCTTTCGAACCTCAGCTTATAAATAGGGTACAAAAATAACGTTTGAATTAATAAGTAAATTAAATCGAGATAAATCATATATTCAGCAAATAAATAATGCAACACAAGTAGTTTTAATAATTCAAAACAAAATAGAAACTAGCCTCCCGTATCAGTCGAAAAAAAAGGGGAGAGTAGCCTCCCGTATCAGTCGAAAAAAAAGGGGAAAAATTTTAAAAATCCTTTCGAACCTCCGCTCATTAAAATCCTTTCGATCCTCAGCTTTTGCGCTAAAAACCTACAAGACGCTCAGTTTAAAAATTCTTAATTAATTTTTTGTGACCGAACGAAAGGATATTTTTGAAAACTTTCTTCGGCAATATTGGTTTAAATTATGGCAGGAATCGATTGGTAAATGTTTCAAGTCGCTAAGTGGTCTGGTTGCCTAGATATGTAGCAAAAACTGAATTTGTTCGAGGTTTTTTGGCTTTTACGGGAAATCCATGAAAGAAACCCGGAATTTTTATGGCCTATGTTCATCCTCGTAACTGGCTTAACATAATTGCTTTTGGAACTAGTCATCGATATTGCTTCGTTGAGGAGGAGATACGACTTAAAGCTGCGGACACACATTCATCCATCCATCCATCCATCCAGAAATGATGGGTTAATAAACGCAATTCTCCAGAATGGAAATTGTGCTAAAAAAGAATGTATTCAAACATTTGTAGGTAAAACAAAATGTGTGATCAAGTTAGAAGAAACAAAAAATACAAACATTTATAGGTAAAACAAAATGTGTGATCAAGTTAGAAGAAACAAAAAATACAAACATTTATAGGTAAAACAAAATGTGTGATCAAGTTAGAAGAAACAAAAAATACAAACATTTATAGGTAAAACAAAATGTGTGATCAAGTTAGAAGAAACAAAAAATACAAACATTTATAGGTAAAACAAAATGTGTGATCAAGTTAGAAGAAACATAAAATACAAACATTTATAGGTAAAACAAAATGTGTGATCAAGTTAGAAGAAACAAAAAATACAAACATTTATAGGTAAAACAAAAGTGTGCGATCTAGTTAGAAGAAACAAAAATTACAGTTCTGTTAAGAAGTTAAATTTTTAAAAACTAAGAAGAAAAATTATAAGAACTATTTATATGCCACCAGTCTCCTAAGGCAAACAGTTTATATTTAAATCTTATGGGAGTAAGTACATCTTCACTCACAATATAAAAATTATTAGTAAGATCTATAATTTAGCAATTCAAAGATACATTTTAGGAATTAGGCAAAACCTTTAGAAACATTCAAAAAGATGTCAATTACTATAAAATATAGTTTTAATTTCCAAAATTTGAAAACAGAATTGGGCATTGTAGTAAAAAAAAAAACAACAGCCATGCAACTTCAGTCTTACCCTGCTTTGTTTTCCTAATGTCTCTGCTAGCCTTACATTTATGGCCGTACGGATTCTTGTAGGTTTTACCACAGAACTGGCACATCTTGCTGAAGCCCTCATGCTGGGCTTTGTGTCCTCGGAGAGAAATGGGGGTGGTGTAAACCTTGCCACAGCCTTCCACATCGCAGACATACTTTTGTCCTGAAGAAACAAAACAGGGTGTTAACACTTAATAGCAAAATACAAAGTAACACCAGATAGCAAAATACAAAGTAACACCAGATAGAAAAATACAAAGTAACACCTGATAGAAAAATACAAAGGGTCACTTTGTAATATAGGATATCTCTTAGCCAATCTGCCCAGTCACAGGACATTTCAGAGTTAGGTAAAAGTGGCTTTACTGGCCAGAGATAGGTTAACTCTTCTCTCCTTTAACCATCAAGTCTCAAAAAGATGGTTTTTCAGTTTATTATGTTACTAACATTATAGAATTTTATTTTATTTTTTTAGAATTATGAAATTTTTTATTTCCAAATGTTTATTATAAAATTCTGATCTTGGTTGGTGTTTTCTACAATTAAATTAAACACGCTTATTTAATTAACTGACAATATTATTGATTATTCTCTCACATTTTGGAGACAAATTTAATTTAAAAGTTTTCAGACACATCTGACATTATGCACATATGTGAGACAGCTTGACATACCTGAATGTTTTCTCATATGAGCTCTATGACCAGTATGTGAGGCAAAACTGACAGTACAGATTTCACAGACAAATGGTTTCTCCTTGGTGTGGGAGGGGGTGTGTCTCTGCATTTCTCTGCTGCTCACAAATCCTTTACCACAGTAGTCACATTTGAAGGGCCATTTGCCTGTAAGAAAAGAAACTGACTATATGATTTAAAAATTCTCATTTAAACAGTAAAATTCCAAGTTCTATCCATATATCACAATGATCACTTTTTAAAAGCCACTTGCTTAAGATAAAAAAATGTATTTGAAAAATTCAAATAAAACAAATTTATTTAAAATAAAAAAAACTATGCCAAGTTTTACAGTTAGAAAAGTGATTATTGAATAAGCTGTTATTAAAATAAGTTAAAATATCAACATCAGAATGTTTACCAATTTTATGCTTCTGTAACTGGTGAAATTTGAGACCATTCATGGTGGAGTAACGTGCACCACATTGCTGGCACACCTGCGACTTGCGTGGCTTGCCGAGTTTCTGAGCTGTTAGATGGTTGTGGCGACCTTTTTTACCACACGTGGGGCATACATAGTCTACAGCAAGAAAACATACGGAAAAAATGGCTTGGTTATTTATATGTATGGAGCAAAAACAAGTTGGGCATACATATACTAGAACAAAAAAACAAAGAATAAAATACTTTAGTTACATGCGGTATAGAGCAAAAAATTATGCAAACAAACTAGAGCCACAAGAAACAATAAAATTGTTCAGTTGCTTGCAAGAATAGAACTAAAACAAGTGGGGTATATACAATTTACAAAAAAAAAAATTGTTTTAAAGCATAAAGGAAAAGTGGATTGATTAACAGCAGTATACAAAGATGACTAAAGCTACCTTCTTCTTATGTGTTCCTTACTGGCTTATTTTTCATCACTACAAAAACTATTTTATAAATCAAGAAGAATAACTGGGCCAGGTGACACAGAAAAATGAGGCCTGACATCAACATAATTTAGCTTCAGTGTTGACCACATACCTGACTTCTCATTGTGGATTTAGCTTCAGTGTTGAGCACATACCTGACTTCTCATTGTGGATTTAGGTGTTGAGCACATACCTGACTTCTCATTGTGGATTTAGCTTCAGTGTTGACCACATACCTGACTTCTCATTGTGGATTTAGCTTCAGTGTTGACCACATACCTGACTTCTCATTGTGGATTTAGCTTCAGTGTTGACCACATACCTGACTTCTCATTGTGGATTTAGCTTCAGTGTTGACCACATACCTGACCTCTCATTGTGGATTTAGCTTCAGTGTTGACCACCTACCTGACTTCTCATTGTGGTCTTCCTGGTGGCTGGCCAGATTTTCCTGCAGCCTGAAGACCATGAAGCACTGATTGCAATGGTATTCACGATTGATGGAGATGGACGGCTCAGACATGATGTGGCGGTACAGATGTTGTTTGACGATGAAAACCGAGGCAAGGTATTTTCCACAGCCTTGCCAAGGGCATTTAAATTTCCCATCTGTGGGAAGAGAAAAACAATTTTAAAAGTCTGTTAAAAATATTAGCTTGTGTTGGGTTTTAAAAATAATTTTAAAGTCAATTAAGAAAGTTCTTCAATCAGTTAAATCACATGTCTACTGTTTTTTTAGACATTGTAAGTAAAGTTCCCTTTCAAACCTAATGGGCCACGGGGCAAGTGAAGTAGAGTTCACTTGGTTCTGTGACCTTGGCATATAAAGAGATAGTGTGGTCATTTTTTAGGCATTGATGCAACTTAAATTTAACATGTTAAGGAATTTTTCACCATTGCATTCAAAATGTTATAATTATAGTTCAGATGGGAAAATAAAAAGCACATACCATAATGACATTTAGTGTGTCTTGACATTGTTATCATATTGTGGAAAGTCTGCTGGCAGCCCATGTAATCACACATCACATGGATGTTGGTATAGTGGTAGAGGAAATGGTCAAAGAAACCTTTTTGGTCGGAAAATGTCCCCTGGCAGCCTGGTTCTTCACAAGAAAATCTGGCCAATCTTGCAAGTGAAGGTTTGGCTGAAATAAATGCAATATTAAAGTAAAACGAACATTTTTTTTAGAACTGTAAATGTTTTATGACTATTGCTTTCCCCATCTAGTCAGGTGCCATAAGCTGAGTAGACCAGAGGCGTAGCAAGGGGGGGGGGGAGAAACATGTCCCCGGAAGCTGACCTTAGGGGGTGCCAAAATGGGTTAGAAAAACAAATTGAAAGTTTGAGGGGGTGGGGAGGGGGGGTGGTGGGGGCGCAAATCGAAAGTTTGATGGGTTGCGGTGCAAATCGAAAGTTTGTCCCCGGGCGCCGGAAGGGTCCCTACGCCTCTGGAGTAGACTAAAGGACATTCATGCTGGGTACTAAATAAAAAAAAAATCTAGGTTTCTAATTAAACTATATTTCTAAAAAATAACTTAATATTAAAAATTAAAAAACAAAACAATTTTAATCTTTAGAAGTATATATATATATATATATATATATATATATATATATATATATATATATATATATATATATATATATATATATATATATATATATATAAACTTTTCTCTACCAAATCAAAAACACCAAAATCATGAAACAAAATACCTGCAGCATCATCTCCATGCAGCCTCTTGTGGATCATCAACCCCCACTTGCTGTTGAAGGCCAGCTCACAGATCTCACACACAAAGTCACAGTCTAGATTGGCCCTCAGAGATCGGCTGTGTGCGATAAAATGAGGCTTCAATTGGCCAGTTTCTGTCAGCCAGTTATCACAATTTGGCCACGGACATTTCATCTTAGGGTCTAAAACATATGGTCACAAAATACAGTAGCAATAAAAAAAAATCGTTTAATAAATAGATTAAATATAATTATTTAAAAAAAAAGGTTAAAGCACAGATGACTAAATAAAAACAAAGTACAGTTCTATAAATAAAAACAAAGCACAGATCTATAAATAAAAACAAAGTACAGTTCTATAAATAAAAACAATGCACAGATCTATAAATAAAAACAAGGCACAGTTCTACAAATAAAAACAAGGCACAGTTCTATAAATAAAAACAAAGCACAGATCTATAAATAAAAACAATTGATGAATCCCTACCATAGTGAACCCGGCTGTGTTTGGCCAAAAGGAGCTGGTCGTCAAAAACCTTGTAGCAGCCTTCAAAATCACAGGTAGACTGTTTCCTGTTGTGGTTCCACAGGTGGTTGTCTAAATTTTTCTCCAGGTAAAATGTCTCACAGCAGTCCCCAACCTGACACCTGTACGGTGGGTTGTCTGACAATGTTTCACGAATACATGGCTTATGATTAACAACATTGCTATTGGATTTTTAAAATGTAAAAAAATATTTTATTCTACAAATTTAGAAAATTAAATTTGAACTAACAAACACAAGCTGTATATTTAAAATGATTGTAAAAATAGGACAAATACTTCTTTAAAATAAAAAAACAATAATATAAAGCTCTATTTAGACTATAATTACCAATGTGTTGTTGTACATGAAATTTCCTGTCCTCCAGCGCATTAAATAAATAATCACAGCCTTTCAGATGGCATGGGTATGGTGATGTCTATTCGATGCAAAAAATGAATAAATTATAAATCATGCATAAATGTAAAAAATGTTAATTCTATTTTATAAAACAAAATCCTAAATAGTGCATATATCTTAAAATTGTAATAACTTTAAATATCTCCAATAATAGAGTTGATAATAAAATACTTTTTAAAGAAGATTTATTAGTTTAAATTAATTCTAATCTATTTCATATCTTGAAAAATTAAACAGATAATGACATTATCTCTAACTTCTGAAGTTTGAAATAAAGTTTCTAGTTAAGTGACGTCGACCCAAACCTCCTTCATCTCCCTGAGAGCCCTCTCACTGTGGTAAACCTCCACATGACGGGGTAGCTGGGCCACGGTCAGCACCATGCCACAGTGCACACAGATGCGCTCAATGAAGTCCAGCTCCTTGTTCTGCAGGGGCAACAACCTCTTGGGGGTTTTCCCGTGCTCCATCACCATATGCTCCTCCAGAAGGTTCTTACGGTTGAACTCCTTAAAACAACCGTCGTACTTGCAGGGGTGCTTGACAAACTCCTTCCCCAGTTTGTAATCCCCGCCCTTGTGCACCAGCTTGTTGTGCCTGTAGAGGGTCGACCTGAAGGAGAACTGTTTCCCACAGCCTTCAACAGAGCAGGAGAAGAAAACTCCGGGCACGGATTTGGGTTTCCTGCCCCTGTGCTGGTTCAAGAGGTGGCTCTTCATGTTCTCCCGGGTGGTGAACAGCTTGCCGCAGCCTGGGTACTCACACGCGACCGTGCGCTGTGGCGGGTTGGCAGCGTGCTTTTCATTCTCTGTTATGGTCATGCACGCAAAAAAAAAAAAATCAATTTAAAAGATAATATATAGCAAGTTTAACATAGGTCAATTTAGATGGTAAAAACTATGATTTCGTATTTTTAATATCAGTTTTGTTTTGCAAACAGTTCACAACTTTGACTTATGTTTAAGATCATATTAAATCAAGCTTTTAAAAATAAGCCTTCATGAACATATTTAATAAACAGGCCTTCACTTGCAGCGTTAAAAAGAAACTTAAAAGAATATCTGAACAACATACTTAAGTGAATTTTATAGTGTACATCCAAGTATCTCTGACAGCTGAACTTCTTGCCACACTTTTCACAAAACAGCTGGCGTTCTGGTGAGTGGCTACAGATGTGGATCTCTAGCTTCTCCTTCTTCACAAAAGATTCTTCACATCCACTGTAGGGACATTTGTGGAGGCCAGGTTTACCAACTAGAATATAGAGGGACGTTGCTAAATACATTTCTTAAACAAAACAACCAAAGTATGCTGGAAAAATTGATTACTGTAAAAACTTTTAGAAACAAAGCATAAGAAATGACAGATAGGCTAAAAACCAACAATCCCTCTTCTTTTCGTTCTCAATTGTAATATCGATAGGGTTTTCTCCAACACAACATGTCAACATGTTATTTGCCATATGGCCCTCCTTCTGCCTTTCTGAATTTGCTTCAATAGCCTTTGACCACTAAAGACCAATTTACAAGGCAGAAGCTGTTTGGTTTTAGAGTTGTCTCTCCTAAATCTAGGCTCATCTGCTCAAGGGGTCAACAATCATAAGCTCTCCCACCGAACCAAACAATCCCTAACAATCCCTAGTATTCCCGCAAACAAGAAAAAGCTTTTGTGTAAAATATTTTTCGTGTGTCCAGTGCTCTGAAAAGACTGTTATTGGTAAAGTGATAAATATTTTACTACTGGGTGGCTTATTTACAACTACTGCATGGCTTATTCACAAACTATTTGGCTTATTTACAACTACTGCATGGCTTGTTTACAACTACTTCTTGACTTATTTACAACTACTGCGTGGCTTATTTACAACTAATGCGTGGCTAGTTTACAACTACTGCTTGACTTATTTACAACTACTGCTAGACTTCTGTACAACTACTGCTTGGCTTTACAATTACTGCATGGCTAGTTTACAACTACTGCGCTGCTGCTGAGAGAGAACTTCTCAGGACACCATAACCCACCTCCATGAATTCTTCTTTTATGTCTGGTCAGGCCTTTCTCATGAGCATATTGTTTGCCACAAATCTCACAGCTGAGCATGTCAGCTTTCATGTGCGTCACATTATGGCTGTTTTTCTCTGACGCAGTGAAAAATGTTTTGGTGCAGCCTTCAAACTCACACCTGTGAGGCTTATCACCTGCAGATAAAAGAAACCAGTGTTTACATACAGAAATAGGTTCCTATGTTAATATTGTATAGAAGATTAAAATACACTTTTTAGATCCATTGATTACCCCTCCCCTTTTAACATGTTTGGTGTGACATAAAAGGGGATCAGTTCATATTTGGATACTTAAAATTCTATCTCTTCTAATCAGTTTCTCTGATAATTAAAATTTAAAAAATTATTATCTTTTCCGGTTCGTGCCCAAGACACATGGGGCAGAAGTAGAGTTTATCTGTTTTAATGATCTTGGCATGAATGTGGAGTCCGCACTATGACTAGCGGTTTTTGTTTTCCTAACAAGAGTCAGGTACCTAAACTCGAGACTTTCGGGCTAGCAGTCCTAAGTTCCTCTAACCTTCAGCCATGCTATCCACTTTTTAATTGTTATCTCTTCCTATTAGTAAATAATTGTTTTTGGTTATGAGCACTAGTTTTGTTAGCTGTGGAAGGAACTTGAGTAAAACATTCATTCAAACTATCTTGATATTGAGTCTTTAAAATTAATTTGGGAGAAAAGCCCACAGAAAAAAATCCTCTTTGCAAATCCAGTACCCTGTCTCTACAACCTGCTGAAGGTCTCGTCCCATCCCCACACCAAATTGTAATGTTTAAAATAACAAATAATTATATGAAAAAAACATCTCTATACTTCCATGAGATATTCCAATACAGCAATATTTTAAAATATTCGCAACTATTTATGCTAAATTATTTCACGTTTGACATGGTCATCTTTTACTTTGCATAAATTTGAATGAGTTAAACAAGATTTAAGAGATTGAATAAAAGCTTCAATGAGAAACCTGTGTGACGTGATTTGTGCTTCACCAGGTCCTTGCTGTCCTTGAAGCTCTTGCCACATCCATGTATGTCGCAGGTGAAAGGTCGCTCCCCTGTGTGAGACCTGAGGTGGGTGTGTAGGGCCCTGGACAACTTGAAGGCTTTGGTGCAGTCTGGGAACTCACACATGTAAACATGTTCACTGCTGTGGGCTGATTGGTGCTCCTAAAGTCAAATAAAAACACAAGCAATACAATTTCAATGGTTGTAATATATTTTACTTTTTCAAGAATGTAACAAGATTATAACTCTTGATTCTAGAGCAAAGATAAGAAAATTGCATAATTATAGTTAGTGAAAAAGCTTAATTTAAAAAAAAACAACTTACAACATAAATCATAAATTGATGTTAGACTGTTTACAATGTTCCACAGTTTAAAATAGTATTCTATTTGAGAACGAAGGAACGTTTTTATTTTTAAAAAAAAACCCCACTAAATATAATACTGACATTTAAATTTTCCTCAGTGGTGAAAGCCAGTTTACAGCCCTTGTGTGTACACTTGAAAGAAAATAGTTCTGAAAAAGCAAGGCCCAGTCAAACATGTTTATATCATAATTTTATGGTGACTTCATTTCTGTGTGAATCACACAGCATAATGGGCTTTAAAGATTTATAAGTGGTGCATAATAATGTGTACTGCATAGTTATAACACTAGTTGCAAGTCATTACATTTGTTTCAAATAATAAAATAAAATTGAATATTAAATTTTATAATAATTTGATTTACTAACCATTATCCAGTCCACCATTATTTGCAAGCATTGCCATTTTCTGTGAAAAATCATCTTCTGTACTGAGTATTCCATCTGTAGATACAAGTGAATGTTTAATAATATTTAAATAAGTATTACACAAGAATTCTGTTTCTGTGAAAGAACAAATACATTCTTCTTCACCCCCACTCCCAACCCAAAATAAAAAAAAAAAAACAAAACATTCAACTAAAATGAGATGAATATAAAAGCATAAATTTAAACAATCATAAATACATTTTTAAAGAATTCAATGAGATTTAACTTGTAAAAACTTTCTATTTCTAAAGTTTATTAACTTTGAGTACTAGATGTGTAGCTACAGCTTACCTACCATAGTGATAATACTTAAAATGTACAGCCATATGCTGCCATGTTGGGTATCCATGGTCACAGTTGCTGATACAGCACTTGATCAATAATTTGTCCTGACCAGGTTTTTTGTTTTTCTTCACGTATTTCTCAGCCTAAACAAAGATATTGAGGAGGTAACAAAAACTTTTAATATGTATAATTTTTTTCTAAATACAATAGCAAGAAAAGTGATTAATTTGATTACATTCAAGTTTTTAAAAAATCACTAAGCTTTAAAAATGTAAACTTACTACTTTTAAAACGTAATCAAGTATGATTTATTGATGTTTTTAAAAGAAGAATATAAACTCACTTTCTGGATTAAAGTAGCCAGCTTTTTTTTAGATTCATCACTAAGGTTAGCTGGGATGTCAACTTGAAGGCTGTTGTTCTCAACTTTAATTTGACTATCTGCTTCAGAATTCAGCTCCTCATCTGAATTATTGCAAACGTTAAATTTTTTACCTTGGGGTAACAACTTTCCTTTGGCTCTACTTCTGCCAGGTATTATCTTTGTTTTACGTGGAGAAACAGTTTTAGATTTTGGTGTTCTTTTGTTGTCGGAGTCATCATTGGATGTAGCGGTGGACTCCAGTTTTCTAACTTTACCTGACGTAGGCAGGTACTCATCTTCACTGTCTTGTATAGAAATATCTGAGTTCAGACCGGAGTCTGATTCACTTTCATGTGCGGTGAATTTTTTCCGTTTTGCTTTTATAGCAGCAGCTCGTTTGCTCTCTCTTCTTGGTTTAGATTTTAGTGCTTTATCAGATTTTGTAGAAAGAATTACATTATTCTTGTCATTAGAAGCTGATGCAGTTACATCAAGATGAGCTACAGGTTTGTTTTCTACTTTTATTTGTTCTGTGTCCAAAAAAGCGTCGGCTAGTCCTGACAGGTTTAGTTCAGCAATTTCACTGTCATCAAACATCAGCAAATTTTTATAGTCTTTATTTTGGGCTGAAAAAAAAAAAGATTATAAACAAGGATATGGTCACTCACATGTATGAACGGTACTATTTCACACAGTAAAAAATTTGATCTAATAAGCTTAAAAAAATCTCTTCAACCTTTGAATATGTTCTTTTAATGAAATGAAGGTAAAGTTAAATTAAACTATACAGAACAGTTGTAACTAAATATTAAATTAAATGAAAAATAATTGTTTGCTTAATTTATTTCAAAGTAAAACAAATTTATAATGATTAACGGGCCTCTAATGACGCTAATGTTTAAATATTTACCAGATATTCCATTAGAATGAGAAGGAACAACATCTTCCATTGCTTTGTCAAGGCCAGCATCAAATTCTTCATCTGTATCTTCATCATCACTGTCATCATTTGTTTTATCACTAGTGAAGGTGTGGGACAGACCTTCAGGTGAAAAACAAAGTTCAATTCCTTTATGCTTAAGTGGTGACAGCTGTGAAATCTTTTCATCTTGTTGAGCTTTGTCCTTCTCAGAGGATTTGAATTTATAGCCTTGAGTTGTCTTAAGTTTAGTCCTTTTATTTAAACCCTGTGTACAAGCACCAACATTCCATTCACTTCTTTGGGGTTTGTACAATTTTATGTTGATTTTTTTACCAATCAGGCCTTGGAGCCGAGCAATAGTTTTAGGTATCTTCTTTACAGTGACAAAGCACAGGTTACATAACCTTGGCTCAGAGAAAATGGTCTCATCAAAAAGTGTATTAAAATCCTGAAGGGGCAGGAGATACTTCAGCTTCTCCTTAATTTCATACTTGATGCACTTCATGCCATGTAACAGAGGACTTTTTGGTTTCAGATCCTGCCAACATATGGCACATTTTGTCTTTCTGTAATCTTCTGATATTTTAACCATAGTGTATGGCTGGTAATTTTTCAAATTCTGCAGGTGAATGGTCACTTATATATAGTATCCAATGTTCATAAAAATACTGAAGCATCTAAGCTCATATTATTTGTAGGCCTAATTCAAACAAAGAAATATGTCTGTGGTTAATACTACTGTTAAAAATATAAAATTATGTAAAAGTAACAAACAAAAATTCTAGGGTGTGGGGAAATTGCGAGACGCGAAAAGCGAAATGGCAAGGCGGGAAAATGCGAGAAGGGCGCGAAAACGGTCGGTCACTTGACTTTTTTTCTCGCATTTTACCACAACCCGATACTTATGCTGGGTGGTGTTGAAATGCGAAGATTTCTGCGAAAAATTTACCGCACCCGATTTTCAGTGGTATTTGGTCCAGACTTCAAAGACGTTTCGTTTACATTGTTAAAACTTCCAATTTTTCCGTCGCTCGACATACTGATGATTTGTCAACTCCCCCCATCTTTTGTGTCGACTTAGAATACCACCCTGTTCGAAACCGATGGAAATACCGCAGACGATAGATCAACTTCTGTCTTTTGTGTGGAACGCCGAGGCCGCCTGATTTACCGTCTTTGAAGATCACCGTGCCCGGATCCGCTTCCGCCGGAAACATATTTTCTATTGTTGCATAGAAATTTTGTATAAACATGAGTGGGCTAAATTTTTAAAATTAATGCCGACTGAGACGGGATTTTCCTCTCGCTAACGAGAGCGGGTGATGACAGTAGCACAGCAACGATGTTAGGATTTTTAAATAGATAGATCTAGATATAGATCTATCTATCTTCTTAGTATCTATCTATCTATATAATAAAATCTAGATCAAAAATAACAACATAAAACACTCGTGTTAAAGGGTATGGCTAAATGCTTGTTTATTTTAAAACAAAAACAAAAAATAATTTAAATAAAGATGAAAAAAGCATGAAAAAAACTTTTTTTTCGCAAAAAGTGTCTCGCTATTTTTCTTTAATTCCGCAGGTATGTATCGCATTTTCTTCTCGCATTTTCCCGCCTCGCCATTTGGCATCTCGCAATCTCCCAACACCCAAAATTCTAACAGTCTTAGTAAATTATAATAGGCCTAAGTAATACTAAGTAGGCTCATAGAATGTTTTAATTTTCAAATTATTTATCTTTTAAAACTTTAACATAACATAGTACATAGATCTAGTACTAGAGGGTCTAGATCTAACATTTTTTTTTTTTTTAGTTTAGTAGGCCCTATTAGAAATACTTGAAATAGGCTGTTCATAATTTATTTAATATTATATTAGGTATTAGGGCATTAGGCCATTAGTGATTAGGCCTATTGCAAGAATACATCTTAAACTTTAATTTAAACTAACTAAGGTATAAAGTATAAATTATAGTATAAACTCAATGCCACCAGTTGGTTGTTGGTTAAGACTAGTTAAGAGAGAGTAAGACTAAGCCCTAAGCTAAGAGTACTTACTACTAGATCTACTAGATCTAGATCTAGTACTACTGGTGATCTGGGGGTTCATTCTGCCAGGGATACAAAAGTTCGACTCAAAATATGATTAAAAGATCGTCCAAATCCTTATATTACTTTACTCAATCATCCTCAAAATAAGACGAATAATTCAATAATAAATGAAGAGCCAATCAATTTCATGTAACTTAAATTAATTAACGTTTAACAATGATTTTTACTAACAACTTTCGTCTTTCATTAACCAAAGCAGCCATATTAAAAAATTAATAACATACTATTGAGAAATGAGAGTAGTTTCCCTTGGCTTTGAGGGTTACACAGCGTTTGTTTACACTTAGGGAAGTAGCAAATTGCACACAATTTTAAGGAGGGGGGGGGGGGGCGGACACTGTTAAAAGTATATATTTTCTATATAAATTCCATTTCGTTCGGGGGTGGGGGTAGACTTTTTTCGGGGGGGGGGGGCCTTGAAGAGATGCCTGGAAGAAACACTGGAGTAAGTTGTGTCAGCTCTTATTACAACTTCCAATAAAATACACTAAATTATTTTCTTTTAAAATTCAGTTCCACATTTTTTTTAAAATGCAAGAGTGGGACATCACACTTTCTGAACCTACCACCAGCCCCCCCCCCCCTTTTCCCGTTAGGAGCATAATGTCATAAAATTAACAGGGGCAAAATGTATATTTATTTTCTTTATGAAGCGCGACAACTCTATTAATACTGTCAACAGCATCATCTAAGCTTGGTTACTTCCCCTTAAGAGAGGATAATATCTGAATATGTGACTATTGGATTGGGGTATGTCATTCCACCCCCTCCCCCCTCCAAGGACAATATAGAACGCAATATCAAAATAAAATATAAAATAAATAATTTAATCATCGCCCACCCTATGTTAAATGGATGTGGTGAGTGGTGTGTGTGTGTGGGGGGGGGGGGGGTTAAAAATCGGTAAAATAAGCTTCTTCGTTATTTATCTAATAAAATACATCAAGTTTCAAAGACTAGTTCACTCTTTCTTTGTGAGTTGATTAAGAACGTATGGGGAAAAAATTCTTTGTTTTAAAACAAATCAAAGAACATAATAAAAACTGAAAGGTGTTGGATACATGTGATGTAGTACTACATTTTAAAAATAAGTAACGAGAAAGATTTCAAAATTAAATACTAGGTACTTCACAATGTCGATTGCTGCTTTAGTGATACGAAACATAATTTTAAAGAGTAAAAACAAATGAGACTAATATATGTATATGTTGTCTGGTGACTACAGTTAGATAGGTTGTGTGTGATGACGGAGTTTTGTGTGTACGTGAAAGTGCTACGTGTAAACAATGTGTAGTGAGATTATCTGACATTCGTGTTTGTTCGATGGGTGTAGGACAGTATCTAGTGCAAGGTTAGCAAATGCTGGTGTGTTTTGACATGTGGGTGGCTGAGCTAGTGTTCAGGGTACGACCAATGGGAGATGGGCAAAGGAAAACCACTAGTGGCACGGGCTACGGAGAGGGGAGGGGGGATAAATGAAACATAACACGCAGGTCAAAACCCATGACATGGTGTGTTCAACAGCTATTTCAATTTCTAATGAAAGCGGACTAGTTAATTAATAATTAGTGATATAGGAAATTTCTTGCCGTGTATTGTAAAAACCTCAAAAGATAAACTAGCTAACTGTATAGCTTAGCAATCTTTGGTACACAAACTGAATTGGGCATATTTGTGTGGATTCTTAGTGTGGATTATGATATGTTCGTTGGATAAGCAAAGACTGTTTATTTCTGAACATCGTCACTACGTAATCAATAGGATCATCAACAAGAAAACCAAACAGCATGAGGAAACATCAACAAGAGGCTTCATCAACCAAAGGACCGTTCAACGTGAGAACCCATTAACTACTGGACCCATCAGCTAGAGGACCCATCAGCCAGAGGACCCATCAGCCAGAGGACCCATCAGCCAGAGGACCCATCAGCTAGAGAGCAGCCAACCAACGACCCACTAACACCACTAACCGACCGACCAACCAACGACCCACTAACACCACTAACCGACCGACCAACCAACGACCCACTAACACCACTAACCGACCGACCAACCAACGACCCACTAACACCACTAACCGACCTACCAACCAGCGACCCACTAACACCACTAACCCACCAACCAACCAACGACCCACTAACACCACTAACCAGACCGACCAACCAACGACCCACTAACACCACTAACCAGACCGACCAACCAACGACCCACTAACACCACTAACCAGACCGACCAACCCACGACCCACTAACACCACTTACCAGACCGACCAAACCACGACCCACTAACCAGACCGACCAACCCACGTATGTTTTAAGAAAAATTCAACTGCAACTTTGAGGGGGGTTGTAGGCTGAGGTGTGACGTCATTTTAGGGGGGGGGGGCGGGGGTGTCTGGCATTTTGTGACACTGACGATGTGTGACGGAGGGGAGGGGGTGGGGAGGTAAAAATCGTCAAAAAAACTTGAAGTCATTTATGGATGACCCCTAATAATAAATATCGACATCGTACATATTAAATTATATCATCGATGCAATGGAAATAATAATTATTAATTAATAAAAAGTTCGGTGGAGATTTAATCTGCTGCTGCTATGTTCACAGTAACAATTATTAGATACAACTCAGGCAGAGTTTCTTCCGCCCCCCCCCCCGAACGAAATGAAATTTATATAGAAAATATATACTTTTAACAGTGTCCGGCCCCCCCCCCCCGAAGAAAGTTTACCGCCCCCCCGAAAATTTCAAGTGCCCCCCCCCCCCCCCGGAGAAAAAAGTCTGGAAGAAACACTGTACTCAGGATTGTAGTGAGAAGGATCAATACTCAATAGTACTCAATACTTATTAGATATAGAATCTATCTCTCAAGTGTGCAGTCTATTTATTAATGGACACACAAAAAAAACAACAGGTTTAAAAGTTGGATAATCGCATAGGATGAGCAAGACAACCATTTAAAACCACAAAACTGAAAATTCTCAAGGGAAACTACTCTATTAAATAAATTAAATTTAATCTAGATCTAGATCTAGTTCTATAGAGCCTATAGATTTCTAGTAGTATAGAAGTATAGGCCTACTGTGGATTTTTTCCCAAACCAAAAACAAATGATAGTAAAATGCTAGCCTAATAATAATAATGATAATAATCTAATATTATAAGTATAACTTGCTAGGATCTATAACCTATAACTATTATAATAATATAATTGTTTAAAAATAGGCACATGAAGAAGGGTGAATTATTTCCGTAACTTTTACTAGATCTAGATCTACATAAATCTTTTTAAAAATGTGAAATAATTATTAAAATTTGATGAGTCACCCTTTTTTCACATTACTACTACTAGCCTCGGACGATTTTACGTAGGCCTACCAGTAAAAATGATAGAATAGCAAACATTTGTATATCTAGATTTAGAATCTAACTAATATAGGATAGTAATCTAGATCTAGTCTAGACTCTAGAAAGATAGAGTTATTCCGCCAAGGGGCCAAATTAGATTGGTTTGTGTTATCTGTTATACTCTTACTCATGTGGGTTTTATATTAAATAATAATAGTAATAATAGGCCTACCAATAAATTAATAAATATTTAATATTTAGGTTAGGCAAACAATTTTAATGATTAAATGACTTTTAAAGTCAACTTAATAGTAATTAAATGAAAAATAATAATTTTAGCCTTGCCATTAAAGAAACAACTATTGATCACTTATTAGGGCCTATTACATTCTAGATTCTAGATATAATTTTTTTTTCAGTTTAAACCAGTCAATCAGCATTGCAGAATAAAGATATGAATACAGCAAACAGCTGTGTCATCTGTCAGCAACCTCTGGGCAGCAAGAAGCTGCTCCTGCATGGTATCAAGTGCCTGAAATTTGACATCCGTGGCAAGCTCCAGTCACTGTTGCCACAATCAGACTTTGAGATGCTTTACAACAGAGATATCTTCCCTGAGCCCAGGATATGTAACCTGTGTTTTGTCACCATCAAGCAGGTTCCTAAAGGGTTAACCATTATAAGAGAGTTGCTGGGTGAGCCGATTAACATCAACATTTACAAGCCTCATAGAAAAAGTTGGTGTTTTAAGCCAGATATTAGTGGACAACTTGATGAAGGGGAGATGTCATCATTACACAACAGACAAGATAGCCTCGATAAAGGTGAGAATGCTGAAAATGCGTTTAATCATTAAAAATATTCTATTGAAAGTTTTAAAATAGAGTAATTAAAGTATAAAGTATACATCATATGCTATAATTATAGTATGAAGAGATTCCTGAAACAGTGAGTCACTGATACAAAAATTAAACTTGTTTGATTTTCAGTTTTAATTTAATTAACATTCTATCTAATTTAGATTTCTCTGTAGAAAATAATTATTGCTCTGATTTATTTTTCTAGATGGGAACATTTCTGAAACAGTGTCTAATCAGCATACACTGTTGAATGGAGGTAAACCAGAGCGTTCTCCTATAAATCATTCACCTTCTTGTGGGGTATTGCTTGAACAAACTAGGACACAAAGTGCTCAAGAATGTAATACATCACAATACAAGCATGGTTTAATAACTTTAAGAAAAGGAAGTCTAAATGTGGAAGAGGCTGGAATTGTACAAAATTATGCTACTACAAAATTGAATAAAAAAGATTCATCAAAACATCAAGATCGAAACAATTCTAAATTAAAATGTTTTAATGGAAACCTTCGATCAAATGATGAGACAAAGATTTCCAACTTCAATGATATATCAAATAGCATAGGAGGAGTTTATTTCACTAGTTTAATACCTGAGAATTCTAATATATCTTGTGAAAAAAAAAGTGAAAAAATAGGATCAAAGTCCAGATTACTCAGACAAAAAACACAAGAACCATCTCAAGATTTGAAGGAAAAGGTAATGTCTGTTTTTTATTGCAATAGTCTAATGTAACATGACACAGGGTGGTTGAATAATTAAGAAGAGATGGAAAGTCTAAAAATTAATTAATTTTTAAACCATGAACCAACTTATCTTATCTATATATATAATTCTCTTCTGGGAGCCGCTAGAAAACAAGCTGCAAACGCGCCTAGAAAACAAGCTGTAAACGCGCTCCCTACCTCCCCACCCCTACATGGTTTTAGTGAGCTGTGTTCACTCTAAATGTTTACAAGCAGAGCCAACGATTTTAAACGTAGGGGGGGGGGGGGGGAAGGAAGGGGGGGGGGGGTTACGGTCCTTAAGGAGCTACTTATTTTATAATAAAAAGCAAATGTTATTTATTTGTTTAACTGTACATATAAATCAGGGCAAAAGTTTTGTATAAAACTCATTGGATTAAACCATTGTGATGACTTTTTTAACATATCACACAATTTTTTTTTAACAGTCTGACACCAAAGCAGTTAACGGCAGTCATCTTACACATGTGTGTGGTGTTCCAGGTTGTGGTCAAGACTTTCCCATGTTACAGCTGCTTGAAGAGCATAGCCTGACCCATTCAGAAAATATTTCTTTGACAAGCAACTCTACAACTGGTGGAGCAAGTTTTGAAAATTCAACCAGCCTACAGGAGAGCCATAGAGGTGATCAGGTTTAAGATATTTTTTCTGTTACAAACTTTCATTTTTTATCAGTTCTAGTATATAACAGAGTCGGCGTGGTCGAATGGTAGTGCTTACAACTGCTACACAAAAAGTTTCAAATTCGGATTCTTTAGAACGTCTCGGAGTCCACCCAGCTATGATGGGTATCTGACTCATGTTACATAAACAAAGTTGGTTGGGCAAAGTGCTGACAACATTTTCCTTTCCCACTATATGCCAAGAGGATTGAAATAGATAAACACTACTTTATCTGCCCCAGGTGTCCTTGGCATGAACTAGACTCTCATTTTAGTATACATTTTATTTTACTCAAAGCAATTATTCAATTTAGCACCTGATTACAATATGGCATTTCTGTCCACAGTTGGAAGAGCTGGCAGATACAGCTGTAGTTACCCAGGATGCAACAGTGTATTCACCAGGCGGGACAAATACGAGCTCCACCTATGCTCTCACTCCAGGGAATCCTTTTTGTTCTGTGAGAAGTGTGGGAAGCAGTTTGGGTGCCAGCGCTATCTAGATGTTCACTACAAGGTCCATGAAAGTAAGGGTTATGGGAATTTGGTTGATAGAAGTCAGGAAAGTTTACAAAAATTTGCCAATGAAAATAAAGCTAATGAAAGTAGAATTTATTAATACAAAGGTACATTTAATTTTTTGTTTAAATGCAAAGAGCATGCACATATTCCATTTTGTTTAAGTTTTTCTGTACTTTTAGATTCCCTACCCACATATTCCTATTACTAGGTACTTGCTTCAAATATGATTGTTTGTGATACCAACTTTATGTATATTTAGTTATGGCTAAATGATCAGGAATGGTTTTAATATTTTTCTAACAATATTTTATACACCAAACAGGGCTTTATTCTTTTACTTACTCTGATTAACTTTTAAAAGATGTCAAGAAAACCTTTTAACTTTGTTAGTCAAGTTGTCAAGAAGATAAATATCTGAACTAATTTTAACCTCCTGATTTCACTATTTTCACACTCCCTCCAGAGAATGAAAGAAAAGAACTCATACCACCACAGAGAACCGTGACCTGTGACATACCTGGCTGCAATAAAAGATTTACCAGTCGTGTTTATATGAAGCGACATATTCTTTATTTTCACCGTGATAAAAGACCCGGGTCCCAAGGTTTATATCATTCTTGTGATGTTGAGGGCTGTGATAAAAAGTTTTCTCTGAAATCAACTTTGTCTCGTCACAATCTTCTTGTACACAACCAAGGTGATTACAAGCTTCATCGGAAAGTTGTCAAGTACCCCTGCACTCAGGGAGGGTGCCTTAAAGTGTTTAATAGGAAAAAGCTTCTGGAGGATCACATGGTTGGAGAGCATGGGAAAATGTCAAGGCTTTTATTACCTCAGAAAACTAAAGAGCAGGATGTTTTTGAAAAATTGTGTTTGCACTGCGGGATTGTTCTCACTTCCTCCTCACAGCTTCCTCAGCATGAAAATATATGCCACAGTTTAGTGAATACTACAGAGGTAAGTAATATTTATTGATTTTATTGTATGGATGTACATCATTTTTAGTTTAGAAAATTGTATAACTTTATTTGATAATTAACTTTTATGGGTAAATTTTGTAAAAAAAAATGTTACTATTTTAACTTAATTGATTTACTTGATATTGTTTTACTGTATTTCTATCCAGTCAGCATCTTACCCATGTCAGATGAAAAATTGTGAAGCCAGCTTTAGGACATTTGTGGAGAGAGGTGAACACGTCAGATCTCATGCTGGTTGGTAGAACATTTCTTTAAATACACATGTACGCCTACTGTTTTTGCTGACTTTTTTTATTTTTGATGTTACTTGTTTAACTTTTTCATTTTTGGTTATATATTGAATAGATGTGATGGCACATTCATCTATAATTGTCTGTCTATATATTGTTTTATATTAATGCAAAACAAAAGTATAAAAAAAAAAAACCTTTTTTTTTATATCAACATTTAACGTTAGTGGAAATCGAAATTCTTAAAGTATTTTAAAGTTAAAAATAGATTTAAATAATAAGCTTTAGTATTTATTCTTGATGTATTAATTTAATTAAAAACCAGATTTGTTATTTTTTAATATGCTCCTTTTTATTTCACATAAACTGATAAATACAAAATTTGATTATATTTGTTTTAGAGAACCCACCATTCAAATGTGAAGTTGAGGATTGTAAGGCTAGGTTCTATCTAATGAAAAATCTTGACAACCATTTATGGCACCACTGTAAAAAAGTTTCCACTTGTGATGTCGATGGGTGCTCACAGATCTTTGATGATCAGCTACAGCTGGCTAAACACAGCCAAATCCATTTTGGTAACAGATTTTTTCCTTTTATTATTAACGAGCCGACCCACGGTGTATCATACGCCACTATTTAGTTGTTTTTTCTACTTTTCAGTAATTCATAATTTGTGATTTCGACTGTACCAATGCTGCCACTGAAAATATTTGCTTTAAAACACTAACCCCCCCCCCCCCCAGTGAAAGCAGCATCCTCTTAGTTACCTCCTCTAAGTTTAAAATAGTTTCAAACTGAATTATCTGCCCCTAATAGCTGTCACCAAACCCAGCTCTACGATTGTTTTGTAAACATTTAGCGTGAACTACAACTCACCTGACCATGTGAGGGGGGTGGGTGTGGGTGGTAGCGATAGAGAGGAAGAGAGGGACTGCAAGGCGCGCGCTTGCAGCTTGTTTTCTAACGTCTCCCAGAAGAGAATTATATATATAGATACCTATATTACTTTTTTAAACTGTAATAGTCTTTTGTCCATTTACTGGCATTGGCAATCTCTTGCAATTTTTTTTCTAAATGTTGACGTTTTCTATAGCTCTACCAGCCAGATATAGGGTCTACGCCTGAGAGTGAATGAACTTTCTATATTGACAGATGGCAAAATGAAATGTCCCTGGAGAAACTGTTCCAGCAGGTTTACAGCAATGGGAACACTGAAACAACACTTCCTTGCACACAGTCGATGTCTGAAGGCAAGCTTTGGTGCAGACTTCTGCTGCTTGGTGTGTGATAGAGTTTTTAGCAATAAATATGGTCTAAGGAACCATCAGCGCACACATATTGAGGAAGTTTCTGGTAGGTTTTTTTTATTTTATTTTACAAATGGGGATTTTTAGCAGTTTTGCAAATCAGTTAACGTTTAAATGACATGTTCACAATGTTAAATTATTTTTTTCAAATATCTTAAAATACTTTAGTAAATTAATAAATTGTTTCTTTCAACATTTCTTTTTTTGCTTAGGTTTTTTCATTTTTTAAGTTTACACTTTTATACTAGTAATAAACTACCTTAATATCCTTTAGCTGAAAAGGTTAATGTTTTGAAAACACATTTTTCAGGTAAAACAAAAAGGCCAGAGAGTGCAGTTTATGAATGTGAGGAACCCAACTGTCATGTTGTATTCCGTCAGCACAAACATTTCTTTGACCACTTCCTTGGCCATTATACCCAGGATCAGACTAGTTGTGACCACTGTCAACAGACTTTTACCAACATGATGATGAAATCTAAACATGGGAAGGTTCACAACAGTATGTTGACGTTTTTTGGTATATTTTTGATGTAACTTAGTCAATGATGCCTTATGCTGCAATTATTTTTAGTGTATTTATAGTGATCATACAATCTAGATAGTTTATATTATAAACTATCAAATATAATGTAGATTCGCATTTTTTAGTAATACATACACGTTACATAATCTTTACTGCTCAGATTTTTATACCTGACACTAAATTAGCAAGATGGTTTGACAATCTGACAATATTTTATTGAAATAAAATATTACTCACAAAAAAAATAAATAATATTTCAAGTGGTTTATAAGTAATCAAAATTTTTAATAGTAATAACTCTTTCATGGTTTAATTTTAATTTCTGAAATTTTTTTGTAATACTGCTACCTGTATTTTTTCTTAACAGGTGGTAAATACAGGTGCCCTTGGAGAAATTGTGATAAGACATTTGCTTCCTCATTCTTTCACGTGAAAAAACATTTATATCGTCATGTGATGTCAATGCCAGAGGTATCTGCCGACAGACCCCACACATGCTCACACTGTGATATGGCATTTAGGAACAGAAATAACCTTATCCATCATCAAGCACAACATTCAGAGAAACCTGGTAGGCTAAAAACATAGGGAGATATTTAGGTTATTAATCAAATAATGTAATTGTATTGAAACTTAATGAATTGAACTGTGGTTAAGTGTGGTTAAGTAATATGATCTTTCACTCTTAAGATATCTTGTTTACTCAGATCTCTCTCAATCATATCTTTAGTTCAATTGGATCATCTCTGCTAATCCTATGCAAAACTTTAGTTGAATTAGACCATCTCTTTCATGCAGATCTTCAAATAAACAATCTCTCCTGTATATATCTTTATTTAAATAAAATGATCTCTTCTCATATAGACTATGTGTGTACAGTGTGTGGTAAAAGGTTCCACCACAATCATCTCAAGCGCCACATGCTGACACACAGGCAGGAGAAGCCTCATGAGTGCCAACACTGTGGGGTCCGCTATGGCACTGTGAATGGTCTCAAGTTTCATGTTTTACAGGCTCACAACATTGGTAAAAATTGTAAATTCCATATAGCTTGGATAATATTAATAATTATAATTAAGTCGGTGTGGTCGAGTCGGTAAAGCTCATGGTTGCTAAACCGAGAAGTCTTGAGTTCGAACCCTCGGGCAGATGAGGCTCGTTAGCTGGGGACAGCCACTCTTCTAGGAGAGACAACTCCAAAATCAAACAACTGCTGCCTTGTAGTTTGTTCTTGGTTGGACAAAGGCTATGGAAGCAAATCCATAAAGAAAAGCAGGCTGAAATCGGAGTCAATGGCCTCAATGGCGCATAACCAGTTGACCTGTAATCCTTAATTGTGATGGAAGCATGGTCGAGTCGGCAAAGCTCATGATTGATGAATTCGAAAAAAGTCTCGAGTTCAAACCCTCTGGCAGATAAGGCTCGATCCCTCCCTACACTAAAAATTAAGAACGAAGAAGAAGAAGAAGAATTAAGTAAAAAACTTTTTTAGCCAACTAAGCATCTTTTTATACAAACTAAATTCAAAACATGAATGTGCAAGTTTTATTTTAAATGATGTTTAAAACTTTTTAAAATCTACAGGCAACTGGCCCTTTAAGTGCAGTTTTTGTGGAAAAGGATTTATAAGTTCTACTGAGCTGCGCAGACACATCCCATCCCACACTAAAGAAAAGCCATTTTCCTGTGAAACATGTGGTGTTAGCTTTGCTACTCAGACAGGGTACAAAGGTCATGTTAGAAAACATTCAGGTACTGGCAAATCTTTTGCTTGGAAGATAAAATAACTCTTTGATGGACATAATTTTAAGGTTTGACTCATTACACTGTGGCTTGTTGACACAAATGTTGGATAAATGTGGGTAGAATTGAGAACCTGGAATATAAGTTTAACTTGACATCAGTTTTATGTTTCAAAATAATAATTTTATTCAAGTGTTTTAAAAAAATAAATTATGTGACATAAGCAACAAAAGAATATTTCAAAGTATCCAGGTTTATAATGTTTCATTCAAAATGTTTTAGGCGAGAAATATATTTGTGATGTGAAGGGGTGCGGAAAGGTGTACAAGACACCTCTATCTCTTAGGGGACACAAAGCAGAGCACGCAGGATTCAGTAAAGCCTGCTCTTTCTGCAGGAAGGTCTATACAAATCCTTATGGACACAAGTGTAAAGCAAGCAGGGATGCTAAAGCAAACAGCAATAAAACAGGTCAGTATGATTTTTTAAATCTAAGATTTCTAATGTTTTTATACTAGTTTACCATAAATATAATTTTTGCTCAAATAGCCTTATTAAATCTAGCTTTGAAAGTTATAACTCTTTTGTTTCATATATAATTTAGCAGATATATATTTTTAAAATAAGAATCTTCTCTATAAAACCTTCTAAGTAAAAAAAAAGTAAAGAATCCTTTTTAGACCTATGATCCATTGGGCAGATGAAGTAGAGTTCATATTTTTCCCGACCTCAGCATATGAAAGGAAAGTGTGGTCAGCACTTTGCACAACCACCTTAACTTTCCCTAACATAAGTTAGATACTCATCAGAGCTTCGTGGACTCAGGGATGATGACTTTGACCTGGATTCTAACTCGAGATTTTCAGGTTCTAAGTATAATACAACTTAAAAATTGGTAGACATTTGTAGTTTAGTGTTAAAATGAATTTATTTAAATATGTTTCACAGGAAGTTGTATTCAAGTTCCTGTCACAGTTCCACCACCTGCTTCACCACCAGTGTCCCTTACAACATTGACTGCTGTACAGCATACCTCAGCTGTGCTGCCCAGCACAGACTCGCAGCAAATAACTCCTAACATGTTAGGGATGCAGGGGACTACACCACATTCCCAGATCTTTACCAACGCAGTATCATCAGGTTCATCTTTAGTTCAGAGCTTGGGTTCTACTCCAACGCATGAGACACATCCCACAATGCTCAGCCAGGAAGTGGTGCATGATGGTCAGCATTTAACACCAGGGGCTGTAGCATTGGATGCAACAAGGACTACCGTTAATAATGACTATTTAGCTTTAAATGCACTTGTATATTGGGATGGTCATCATATGACTTAAACAGTTAGATATGAATTTTCTGTTTGGCTCATATCTGAAGTGTGTTAAAATAATTAAAAAAAAAAAATCTTTTGTATATTCCATGTTACAGCGGTGTTATTTATTCAGCATCATTTAGCATTTGTATCATTTTTATTGTTGTGTTGTCTTATTTATATCCATTATTGTTTTATTATGAGCATATCAATCCGTCTAGTATTTGAGATTAATAACAAAAAAAATGCATACATAGTTAAAATGTTAATGAAATCAAGTTCTGTAAAAAAGAAGTTGTAAGATTTATCTGCAATTGAAATAAACTTGATAAAATGGTATTTTGAGTTTTCAAATATTTTAAATAATTTTTACTTGATATCCATTCATTGGCTTTAAAAAAGTTATTTTTTTTAGTCCAGTGGTTAGTAGTTAAATAATAATTGGTTTTTGTCTTAGATGAAACAAAGAATGTATTAAAGGGTTGTCCTTGTGTGGTGTAATACACCAAGGGGTGAGAGGAATTCAGTGATTAGTGAATTAAGGTGGGGAAGGGGTTGGAATTAAAAATTTTACACATTGAACTCTTTTGTGATAAAGAGGTCTATGCTGAGAAACACTAAAAACTTGAAATTTTCAGGGGGCGGTAGACTTTCTTCGGGTGGGGGGGGGGGGGGGGGGGGGGGACACTGTTAAAAGTATACATCTTCTCTATAAATTTCATTTCGTTCGGGGGGGGGGGGGATAGACTTCGAAAAGATGCCTGGAAGAAACTGGATATGGAAGACGTTTATTCCGTTTATTTAAAAAAAAAAACAGTAATCTTTAATTATAATAATTTATAAGTTTGTTGTGTACAGTTAAAGTACAGACTTCCTACAGAGGGTAGGCAAGTTCAGACACCTATCCCCCTACAACCCCTGTCTTCGCCACTGTTTGTGTAATGCATTTTTAATGTCCGTATGAACAGAAAGATGATAGATCTAGATCCAACCAATCTCTAGATAAATAAACTAAAGATCTAGAATTTAGATAAAACCGAATTAATTTTATTTCGTAAAACAAGAACGACAACTGTTGATCACAGACATTTTCTTCTTGGTACTTCTCGTTCATGAAACTTAAACTTCCGGTTTAATTTGGATGTTTATGTCTTCGAAACGTTTACACAAGTTCTTCATCTAACCAGTTAAAAATGGAGACTACAAGCGATGGAAAAATCAAAATGCCTAGAGTGGCTAAGGTAAACATTTTTTAAACTGACAGCTTTAGTTGCATTTTATTTTTTAGTACTAGATCTAAATCTACTAACAAAACTATAAAAGAAAATTCGACTCACTAATTTCATGACCTGTTATCGATAGGATGGACTGAGGCCACTAATGCCTGACTAAGCCGAGTCTCAGTCGGATAGTTTGGATAACTTGTATTTGTTTGTAGCTGAACAAAACAATAACAAAAATAGTGTTTTGTTCTTAATTATTTCACATCCAGTTATTAAATTAAGAACCATTTTACATCAGAGTCACATATCCCCACTTTCCCTTGCCTTGAATCTTGAAAAGATTTTCTTTTGAAAAATTTAAATTTTGGCAAAAAATATTCAGCAGTTCCAGAATTTATTTGAAATAAAATGAAGGTATTTATCCAGCCATTGTCTGTATTTGTTAACACTAGTTGTAAAGTAAGTTTAGCAAGCTAAGATGGGTTAGTAACGGTTAGTTCCATGCACGTGAAACAAAGGAAGTTGACCTATTAAGCACAGTTACATGAATTAACAACAGTTCTCCCCCCCCCCCCCCCATTGGTTATATATTTTTAATACAAATTCATCTTCAACAGTCTACTGTGAATTAGTTTATTCTTACTCTGCTTTAAAAGTCTACACTTAAACGATTATGTACAAGGTATTTAACAAAGGGATAGTCCATAAATTACATGCTTTTTAAGCTATCCCCACAATAACACAAAAAGCAAGACCCTCCCTTAAAAGGAAACCACACTATGAACCATTTGGTTTGGGTTCTCAGTTATATAAAAAAAAACATTTAAACATAGATCTAGAAACTAACATGCATTTCATGTTCATCACAATTGTATAGTAAAGGGTAACCTAAAATATCTTGTTAGGCCTATAGGATTTGAAAAAAAATTAACTTTCTGAAATGCCTTTTAATAGTATTTTTAATTATTGCTCAATTTTGTTGTTTTTGCAGGTCAAAAATAAAATGGCAGCCCCTGTTCAAATAACAGCGGAGCAGCTATTGAGAGAAGCCAAGGAGAGAGAACTTGAGCTGGTGCCCCCAGTAAGTTTTTATAATATATTTTAATGAAACTGTGGGACAAAGTAACAAAACATTATTCAAAAAATAATTTTTTTTTACTATATCTTTAGTTTTCAAATTTTGACAAATACATGTGTTATTGTCTTTTTATTTATATTTTTAAAAAAGAAAGTAAGCTATGTGTTTAATCTTTTGAAATATATTTTTGGTGTTTAGCCTCCCAAGCAGAAGATTTCAGACCCTGATGAGCTTGCTGACTATCGCATGAGGAAACGAAAGGTAAATATTTTTTCCAAGATGTTTCTATTTCTCGACTTAGCACCCTTTGAATTAATGTTCCCTTAAAGGATCAAAACCATAGATAGGGAAACATTAGATAAAAGCTAACTAGCTTGGAGATGACTCTGTAAATATGTATTTGTTCTCAGATGTTTGAAGATAACATTAGAAAAAACAGATCTGTCATGACCAATTGGATCAAATATGCCCAGTGGGAAGAAAGTCAGAAAGAAATTCAAAGGTGAGTCACTTAATATTATTTTTGCAAGTCTTCGAAATCCGTTTTGATGTTAGGTAATGTAAATCAAATATACTGTTTTAAAGAAACATTTTTAAAAATTCTAATTTAGGGCAAGATCAATATGGGAGAGAACCCTGGATGTGGATCATAGGAACATCACTGTCTGGTTGAAATATGCTGAAATGGAGATGAGGTTAGATTTTCATCTTTTTATTTTTTCATTAGTTTCATAGAAAATGGTTTTATTATGATACAGTTTTTATATAAAAAAAGAAAAATATTTTTTCTTCAGTCTTGTTAGAGAAATCTAGTACATTTTTATTGTTTGCTTTTTAGGTGTCGCCAAATCAACCATGCACGTAACATCTGGAATAGGGCTGTGATGGTTCTGCCAAGGGCAAATCAGTTTTGGTATAAATTTACTTATATGGAAGAAATGCTTGGCAACACTGCAGGTGGGGCTCCAATTGTTTTTGTGTCATTTTTTTTTCAGTCTTTCCTTTTAAATGACTGCAACAGTTTGGTATTTCTATTAAAGTTATAAAACTTTTTTCAACTTTGAATACATTAAACCAAAAAAATGCAGAATTTTTATGTAAATGAAAGATCTCAGTTTTACTTGCATTAACTACAAAGTGACATTATTGTGAAAATTAATTTATTAAATGAATAATTTGATTGGTAATTTGGGGATCTGGGCTAATTAATTAACTACAGCAATCAACATATTTTACATCATGTAGGAGCTAGACAAGCTTTTGAGCGCTGGATGGAATGGGAACCAGAGGAACAAGCCTGGCACTCGTACATCAATTTTGAACTTCGCTACAAAGAACTTGACAGGGCCAGAGCTATTTATGAGAGATATATCCTTTATTTGCTGTTTTATTTGAAGTCTACAGTTGTATTAGTTTGCTATAGAGCTGATGTTAAGGGAGGAAACTTGTGTGGATGCAATTTTTGGGCATTCTTGATATTTTTTTTAATGGGAAAGACATCTGTTTTATGATTTACTTAAGAGAATCTGTGTCTAATAGATGATTTCAGTATGATTATCGGCACCCCGTCAAAAGAGCGCACGACAAAAGAGCGCAGACAAAAGAGCGCCGACATAAGAGCGCACTCATTTCCCGACAAAAGAGCGCCGACATAAGAGCGCAAACTAAAAATTGAAAAACCAGATTTAATAAATAGGAACATGAAAATTAACTCAGATCAGAAGGCATCGTTTGATGTAAAATCTTTATTCTTTCATTAAAAAACCAATTGTTCAGTTTCTTTAACTAAAAAACTGGTATAATCAACGTGAAGTTCAATTATTCAAAACGCAATCTAATAACACATACACAGATTTTAAATGTTAGGCCTAAAGTGAGAATATCAACTGAAATGAAATGTAACAAAATGAAAATACGTTCAAATTAATAAACCGTTTCTATATAGTTGCATTTATATTGCTATGATGTGGGCTATACCTCGTAGGTAGTCCACCATTGGATTATTAGAATAGGTTGAAGCAATTCCCTGCAATCTTCGGTACAGCTGAACATAATTGTTCTTTGAAGCATCTGGTTTTTTATCTAGATGACTTTCCTGTTCAATTTCGATGTGATCTCGTTACATACGAAACTGGTTGATCAATTAAAAACGGAAGGATGATTGCAATCTACCGTTTGTTGGAATGCGCGATGCGGTAGATTTTCAGCGACACGATTATGGACATTCCAAATAGCAAGAGCCTTGTTATTAATCAAAGCATAGAAGATTACTGGTGCAACTCTAAAAGTTCCATCCACAAACCAATGTTCATTTTACTGTAGACAATAGATATTATCCACTGTTCCGAACATCATCATTCTGTAAACGTCAGTCGGTCCGAAATCCCAAAAAGACGAAATTTTGCACTCTTGTTGTCGTTTGAAGAAGTTCAGGAATTGTTATCTCTGAAACGTTCTGGGGATTTGGTTATTCCAGTTGCTTGTGTTTTCTCTGTCTTTCTATTGCTCGTGGTGAAGCGACGTATGCCGACAAATGAGGTGCTACTTCCATCGAGAATTCCTTCTCTGGCTTGTATAATCTGCGTTGGTTTTTCCACCCCTTCCACTGCCCGTTTTCGTATAGCCGAAACAACTTTCGCTGCTTCGTTTTTAGCCGGATCAGGAGTGTGATTGTGTTTTGATGATGACATAACAACATCGTTCAGCATTTTTATCCGTCCTCGGCACCCATCTTTCTTGCAGTATCTCCATGTCGTACTTCCATCAGCATTTACTCTCTCCTTTCGATATCTGTAGCCTTCGACCAATATAATAACCTTCCCTTTCTGTGATTCGATCTTCTCCATGTTACTTGGGTTAGAACTATTTTCAAACTGCATTCATAACATATTAACCATAATATATAAATAAACACGTCGTTTTATCGTACCGCGGATTGTTTAATTAAAACAAGTGTTAACCATGTCATATTCGTTTAGCGTACAACGTGTGTTTTTTTTAAATTGGCTGCGCTCTTATGTCGGCGCTCTTTTGTCTGCGCTCTTATGTCGGCGCTCTTTTGTCGGCGCTCTTTTGTCTGCGCTCTTTTGTCTGCGCTCTTATGTCGGCGCTCTTTTGTCGCGCGCTCTTTTGACGGGTCACCATGATTATCATCTTGTAATACTTTTTTTTTCTTGTGTTTGCATTTTTTTTACCTACACGTCAGCTTTTTTATCCTTAACTGTCTTCACTTGTCCTCGTTCACCCTGAGGTAAAAAACTGGATTAAATATGCGAAGTTTGAAGAGAAAAATGGCTACGTCAACAGTGCTAGGTCCATCTACGAGAGAGCTGTGGAGTTTTTTGGGGAGGATAACATCAGTGAGCAACTTTTGGTTGCGTTTGCTAAGTTTGAGGAAAGTCAGAGGGAGGTAAGGCATTGCTACCATTCAACATAGTCAGTGTTTTAGTATACACAGGGATTAGAAAAGCCCAGCATTCATTTCTTTTTGTATCCAGTGGTTCTTCTTTATAATAAAAGTTGCTGTAGGTGACTTCTAATTCTAAGGGCATTGTTGTATAGTTTGCATGTTTGTTAAACATTCATATGCTAATGTACAGCCCAAATAGCAGTCCGACTAAACAATTGAGATGTATCCAACTTCTCTTACAATTAAATACATTTAAAGCATTCTTGAATGATGATTGAAGCTGTATTGCACATTACAGTGAAAGTGAAAAAGAATAGTTAAACATATACTACCTTGTTACCTGCTTTATTTCAAGCCTAATCTAGATTGATTAACATGTTGTTTAGCATGAAAGAGCAAGGGTTGTGTATAAGTATGCTTTGGATCACCTGCCTAAGGAGCGCTGTGAAGAGGTTTATAAACACTACACTATTCATGAGAAGAAGTTTGGAAGTCGAGCAGCTATTGAAGATGTAATTGTTAACAAAAGAAGGTTCAAATATGAGGAGGTAAGCTGTATTAATTTCCGTTAACTTATTTGTAGTATACTTGTTTTGTTATATGTTATGTTATGTATTTATAAATATATTTGGTACCCTAGTCTAAATATTTAAAAGACATTTGTTTATGATACACTTTTTGGTGTGTATTTTATTTTATCTTCACTAGACTTTTTTATTGAGTAGAAATTGTTGTTTGACGATAAGAAAAACTATTTTTACAGGAAGTCAAGGCTAACCCTATGAATTATGATGCCTGGTTTGATTATTTACGTCTGCTGGAATCTGATGGCAACCTTGAGCAAGTCAGGGACACCTATGAAAGGGCTATAGCTAACATTCCACCCTCGCAGGTATGAAAACAAAAGTTTTACCAGAGGTTAAAAATTGTTGGTCATCAGTTACTAAGATTAATATTCAATACCTCATTTATAAATTATATGCCACAATGTCTTAGTTTACTTAGAAGTAAAGTTTTTTTCATTGCCAGGTGAAAAGACATTGGCGCAGGTATATTTACCTGTGGATCAACTATGCTTTGTATGAGGAACTGGAGGCTAAAGATGCAGATAGAACAAGAGAAGTGTACAAGGCCTGCTTAGACATTATACCTCATAAGAAGTTCACATTTGCTAAAATTTGGTTGATGTTTGCTCAGTTTGAAATTAGGCAGAAAAACTTAAGTGGAGCTAGAAAAGTTCTTGTAAGTTATGTAGCAATAAGTTACACAAAGTTTTTTTTAGACATTTGCATTTAAAAATTTGTAACAACATGCAGACAGTAAAAATTTAAATCCTGCGCTATCTTATAATTGATTGTTACATTTATTGATAGCAAATTATCAGCTATTTTTAAATTCTTATACATTGTAGGGAACAGCAATTGGCAAATGCCCAAAGAGCAAACTCTTTAGGGGCTACATCGACCTGGAGCTTCAGCTAAGAGAGTTTGATAGATGCCGGATGCTGTACCAAAAGTTTTTAGAGTTTAGTCCTGAAAATTGTACCACCTGGATGAAGGTAAGTCAAATAATATAAAAAAAAATTCTTTGGTTACATTTTTGTACTTCTGATAACTATAAATGTTAGTTGTAAAATTGTGCTCGCACTGTATTAACGTTGGACTGTTTTCTTGTTTTGTTCCAGTATGCTGAGCTGGAGACTATACTTGGTGATATTGAGAGAGCGCGGGCTATACTGGAGCTGGCCATCAATCAATCACGTCTGGATATGCCTGAGGTTCTTTGGAAAGCTTACATAGATTTTGAGGTGGATCAAGAAGAATATGACAATGCTCGCAAGCTTTACAGGCGATTGTTACAGAGGACACAGCATGTGAAAGTAAATAAATTTTTAAATGTTTATATCTCTTTCTTTATATTTGTTTATGTTTATATTATCTTGCATTAAATTTAGTTTTGAATTTGTGTGCTGATATCTCTTAGGTAGTTTTTATTATATCAGCACAGTTATTTAAAAACCAGTTTCCATGTCCTTTGGACATTTTAACCATCAATTCAAGTGCAGAAATCAAGCAGCTAGTATTTGTGTGAATTTCCCTATAAATAAATGTCTAGAAAAATGAGCAATTTAAAACATGACCATACATCAATAGGTCATTTCATTGAAATTCTGTTCCTCTGCATCTTAATTAAACAATAAGTTTATATTTTGTTTTTTACCATTGTGCATCCTGTTGTTAATTGTGTCCATATTATTTTTTCTTCCAGGTCTGGATCAGTTTTGCTAGGTTTGAGTTGTCAGTACCCGAAGAAACTGCCTTACAGAAGTCCAGGGAGGTTTATAAAGAAGCCAACAAGGCTCTGAAGAATGCGCAGGACAAAGAAGAGCGTTTGCTGTTGCTGGAGTCATGGCAAGCTCTTGAGGTTGGTGGACTTAGTTCATTGTCTGATAGATTTTATCTTTCAGCATTATATATTTTATATATATTCTTATATTTAATCCTGTGAGGTCGCTGAAGAGCAACAAGGCTTCTGTTATACTTATCAAATATACTCTTGGTGGCTATGTTCAGTCAGGCCCATGAAAGCCTGCAGACCGTGCTTGGCATTCTACAGTCCTCTATTGCTGTGTGAATCTAGAAGCTTTGTTATTTGTTTTTTAGGAGGAGGCTGGGGATGATCAGTCCAAACAACAGGTTGAAAAACTTATGCCACAGAAAGTCAAGAAAAGAAAGAAGATTCAAACAGACGATGGGGTGAGGATCTTTTGTCTTTCATTAGTATTTTGTTTGCCCGATCAAAAATTTATTGGAAATATTTTATAAATAATTATTAAGAACCATCTTTTGCTGCCATAAAGTGTGAATCACCTACCATTTTACCAGTAAATCAAAATCAAAACACCATTTTTTACCTTACATTATTTTTAAATCACCAATTCAGTCTTAATCTTTTTTTTTATAATTATCATTAACATTAAAATAAATACTATATATTTTTTTAAATTACTTAGTTGGATGCAGGATGGGAAGAGTACTTTGATTACATCTTCCCTGATGAAGAATCTGCTAAACCTAACCTTAAACTACTTGCCCTGGCCAAGAAATGGAAGGAAAGCAAGGAGACAAATAATGAGGAAGACATGAGTAGTTGACACGATCGGTCCCGTTTTTTTTCTGTGGAATGTAGACCAGCGCCAGTTTTGGCAGATGCCAAAATACTTCAAGGAATTGCTAGATGCGGCTACTGCCTGAGCTGCTAATACTTAATCCAGATTATGGATGAGTAGAATCTATTATTTTGTGCGATTATAACAGAAGTAAGTTACTAAACAAATTTAAAACTCATTTCCAAGGATATGGGTTCTAATGCTCCCAAGTGAACAAGTATAAATTTGACAATATATTTCTTGTTGTAATGAGTTAGAAGCCAGTTTTTTTAGCCATTTGAAACTCAGTACTTCATAATTAGAGCCAAACTGCTTCTGGTATTTGAATCTGAAATTTTCATTAGTCAAATAATGTGTAAAATGTCCATTCATCGTTTTTAAAGCAGACCTGAAAGGGAAGCTTCAAAGTAAGGGAAATAACTACTGCAACATAAAACTCATATGTAAATGTCATAGGATCATGCACCTTCTGCGTGTTTTTATTGTATCTTTTCATCTTGTTATAATGTATGTAAATAAAGTCAAAATCAAGTTTAAAAACAATTTTTTTTCTTTGTTATTTAACAACTGCACCCACAATTTGACTTTCGTAACTAGTTTCGTTGCAACATTAATTGTACATGAACTTTGGTAATTGAAATTCCAACCTACATCCTATGTTCATGTACTGAGTTCAGCTGAAGTCAAGGTAAGGCAGTTTAAACATGTGGCTACCTGATGCACTGTAAAGACTTCTAGTTCTGAATGGTAGGGGTCAGCATTGAGCTCTAACCCACTGACCTTTCCTGTAAACATTACACCTTATGACTTCCTGCTCAACTTTATTTAAACTACAAAATATTTCTGTGTCTTTTGTCATTCTTGTTTTTCTCTAACCAACTAAATCCTCTTTATGACATGGTGTCATTAATGTCTGACTTTAATTTTTTTTCTGTGGTTTCCATGGTTACAGATTTAAAAAAAATAATTGAATTAGTCGTGGCATTAAGTTGACACCGATGTAAAGTGCTCACTTTAATTAGTGTAGTAATTGGGAAAAGTCTAATAGCAATGTCAGATTGAATTGAATCAAATCTGAAACTAATTTTGAAACTTAGCATCATAGGTAAAAATCTGATTCCGTAACTGAGCTCAGAGATATAACTATTCCAAGTCCAAATGTACCAAAATTTTCTGCTAACAGTTTTGATAAGAGCTAAATTTAAAATATTACCTTGAAATTAAAAAATTTCTACCTGGAAATGGCATGGATTGTTAAGGAATAGGCCTGTGTGGCTTACTGAAATCTAAAGGTACACATATTATTAACAAAAGGCTTAAGAGGTTTTCACAAACCTTACCTACTGATTTTATACAGATTGAAACAATCTATGAGATATCGTGAGTTAATTGTTAATACCAGTTCTGTTCATATTAAATTCTTGAAACTACTAACAATGAAGGATCACAAACTTTTCTCCATCTGTAAGGTTAAATGAGGCTGTTTTTATCTTGTGCCAGATATACTGTGGAACATTAGATACAGAAGGTTTGCTCCTATGTAATTAGTGACAGATATTTAAAACCAGAAAAAAACATACAATGACAGCCCTTGTTAAAATATGTTCAATACTCTTAGTAAAATACATATAAAAAACAGTTAATCAAAAGTTGTCGCAAACGATATACAGTTTATCTACATCAGGGGTCTCCAAACTACGGCCCGCGGGCCGGATGCGGCCCGCGAGGTCCTCTCATCCGGCCCGCTAAGATCATTTTGTCCACGGAAAAAAAAGGATTGTTGGGGGTGGCTGAGGAACTATGCCCAGAAAATTTAAAACAATTGCCCGCCATGTTACAGAAATTGGTGAAAACTGTGTAACTCAAATCGCGAAAAATGCAAGAAAGTTTCGCCATGCTTCAATTGCAATGGATGAGTCGCTGGACAGCTGTTCCGCCTCTCAACTGCTTGTGTTCATTAGAGGTGTGGAAGAATACATGAACATAACACAAGAGCTGGCTTCCCTACAAAACATGTATTACACTGTTACCGGAGAGGATATTCAATTAGTAAAAAAAAAACATTTGCTGATTATAACTTGGACTAAACTACCCTCAGTTACCTGGCAATTCATGGATGAAAGAACATGAGAGCATAAAGAAAGGCTTGGTTGGACAAGCAAATGAGAAAAACATTCTACACATTAAATTTGTATATATTTCTATTAGTTCATTGGAGGTTGGGGGTAGACGTTCTTCGGGGAAAGTGTGGGCGGGGGGTGGGGGGGGGGGAGTCCCCCCAAAGAGATGCCTGAAAGAAACTGGCCCCCGAACTGATATTTGATAGTTAATGCGGCCCTCGGGCTGAAAAGTTTGGAGACCCCTGATCTACATGATGAGTAGATCCAGTTGAATCTACACTTGTGTCACCGGTGTTGGTTCAAAGTAGCCCTGGCAGTAAATGCTATACCATTCACCTACATACTAACATGTATGTGATGTTAACATTAGTAAGACAATAATAAACGGTTATTAATGGCATAAAATATGCATGATTATTATTGTTACTGTATGAGTAGGTTTCATTTCTCTCTTAACTCTCTATCTTGTTTGTCACATTCCAATTCTGCTGTAGATCCCTGGACTTGATTATATTATTATGTCGTATGTAGCCCTATAGCTCTAGATCTACCTATTTAAAACACATTCCTTGTTTCTTTTCTTACAGCTTTCTTAAAATGTTAACATACCGTTAACATTTTATGCCCATGAAATATCTTATCTTACCTCAACAAAAATATTACAGAAAATGATTACCCAGTCTAAGGGAGTTAATTTTAAACGTTCTATAACCAAAACATGTAGCCCATTATTCTAATAGAATTACCTCCCCTGCTTGGTTTCCAATACATGCACAAGGTAAGTAACTCAAGGAGGCATTCGTCAAGTTTACCATTCGCATTATTAACTCATTACACACACTGTTACCTGCCAATAACTAATAGGTTTTTAGACACGTTTGGCCCAAATTGAATTAGATACATCTTTATTTTAAGAGCACTAGGCAAGACGTGTTCGAGTTAAATGACATAAGTTGACGCTAATGATTACAACACGTTGATTGGTGAACACAGCCCTCGGAAGACGAGTTCCTAATGAATGGGATACAGAAGGAAATTATGGGATAGCGTGTGATACAGAAGGAAATTATGGGATGGCGCGTGATACAGAAGGAAATTATGGGATGGTGTGTTATACTGAAGGAAATTATGGGATGACGCGTGATACAGAAGGAAATTAGTACTCAACATCAAAAGATAACATAAAGTATTGAAAAGTTAAAACTAACAATTCTATGGCATATATTAACATGGACACATAGACACTCGATAAAAATTATATATAAAAAATGCATAATCATACATATTCATATCTTTATAGATATAATTATAATCATGCACACAAACACACACACACACACACACACACATATATATATACTAGCTGTCCCGGCCAGGCCCTGCTCTGGCTTCTGTGAAAAACCTTTCTGTTAAAGAACATTACCTGTGTGTTTAGTAATCATCATAAAACCGGCATTGCCCACCCAAACCACAACCAACCAAAGCAACAAAACGCAAACATAACGCTAACACAATTACAAATACAAACGAAAACAAAAACCTAACAACAAACCCAACCACAATCACAAACACCAATACAAACACAAAGAAAAAACAAACAAAAAAGCAATCGAAAACAAAAACCTAACAACAAACCCAACCACAACCACAAACACCAATACGAACACAAAGAAAAAAACAAACGAAAAAGCAAACGAAAACAAACCAAATCCAAACGCAAAACCAACCACAAACACAAACCCAAAGAAAAAAACACAAACGAAAACGAAAAAAGAAAGAACAAAAAACCAAATCAAAACGCAACCACTAACGCAAACCCAACCTAAACACAAAGAAAACACTAACGCGAACATAAACGCAAAGTGCTCACAGTCTAGCCCGGGGCAGAATCGCCTGTTTCAGCTTAATAATCGACTATATTACCCCAACTTATTCATAGTCTTTTGCACTCACTTAAACGAACGTAGGTACCAAACCAAACCAAATGAACAATTATAATACTCCAAGCTTATTCGTAAAATACCTACAACATTTGCACTTGATCAATCCCCGCTAATTATGTAATTATTTTTTTCCCAACACCAAAACAAAATAATAAAAAGTAAATTCTTTTCCACTAACGCAGGGGTCGGCAACCTGCGGCTCGCGAGCCGCATGCGGCTCTTTTAATATCAAGATGCGGCTCTCCAGCTCCTTGCACAAATACTAATAATCTTAATAAAAAAATAAAATATTTTAAACAAAAAAAATGTTAGTGGCTCTTTAAAACAAGGGAAATTTTGAAAATTGTAACTTTTGGCTCTTCCGCTTCAAAAGGTTGCCGACCCCTGCACTAACGCAATGTTTTATAAAGGGAAGTAATTGTGTTTCCCTAATTTATCAAAGGGAAGTAAGTGCTAAAGGACTAAATATAAATAATTTTCAGACATAATTAGAATTTTTGTTATTTTTTTTAAATTGTGTTTACTGAATATGCCGACAATTATTACTATCAGTTTGAAAAATGAAAATTATTTCCCAACACTTTCAATAGTAATTTTTTAACTCATAATTTTAGAATTTAGACTATGAGCACGGTAATAGTCTAACACTTAAATCCATAGAAGTATGTCAACGACAAACAAACTTATAACATACAGAATTGAGCTTTATATTATACTAGCCGTCCCGGCCAGGCCCTGCTCTGGCTTCTGTGAAAAACCTTTCTGTTAAAGACCATTACCTGTGTGTTTAGTAATCATCATAAACCCGGCATTGCCCACCCAAACCACAACCAACCAAAAACAACAAAACGCAAACATAACGCTAACACAATTACAAATACAAACGAAAACAAAAACTTAACAACAAACACAACCACACCCACAAACACCAATACAAACACAAAGAAAAAAACAAACAAAAAAGCAAACGAAAACAAAAACCTAACAACAAACCCAACCACAAACACCAATACCAACAAAAAAAATCAACGAAAAAAGCAAACGAAAACAAACCAAATCCAAACGCAAAACCAACCAAAAACACAAATACAAACCCAAACAAAAAAAAAACACAAACAAAAACGAAAAAAGAAAGAACAAAAACGAACCAAATTAAAACGCAACCACTAACGCAAACCCACCTAAACACAAAGAAAACACTAACGCGAACATAAACGCCCGGGGCGGAATCACCTGTTTTAGCTTAATGAACGACTATAGTACCCCAACTTATTCACAGTCTTTTGCACTCACTTAAACGAACGCGCCTGCTTCAATTTAATAAACAATTTTAATACTCCAAGCTTATCCGTAAAATACCTACAACATTTGCACTTGATCAATCCCCGCTAATTATGTAATTATTTTTTTTCCCAACACCAAAACAAAGTAATTAAAAAGTAAATTATTTTCACGGAATGCAATGGTTTTT